GTGGGAGTGGGACGACGCCGTGTCCTGGGGCACCACCCCATCATCGTTGCCTATCTGGATGGCCAACGGTTGGGGATGAGGGGGTTGAGTGACGTTCCCCCCGGTCCTTGGCAAGAGTGCGCTGAGGACGGTGGGGTTCTGAGCTAGGCTGGCGATAATGACCGACAGCGCGGCCTGGACCTGCGGATCCACGGACGGAGAGGCCGCGACCATAGGCTGGGCCGGGGCGTGATCCGTCTTCTCAGCTCGCTTTTTGTCCAAGCCGAGGTGGGCATCAGGGACTCCGCCGTTGAGTTGGTTGCGGAGGTCCGTCGTGAGGTTGATGGCCTCCTGGAAGACGTCCCCTCCGCCGACTTGGTCGGCCGTAGCATCCTCGTCATGATCCCTGGTCTCCTGGTCCGCAGGGATGGCCTTGCTGACGAGGTTGCGGTTTGACCTAGTTCTTCCCATGATCAGTGGTTAGCCGTGCTTGGTAGCGACGAAGGGTGCTAACTTGATTGTTCTAGCTCTCAACGAGAGCACCAAATGATAGAGTATATCTAGAGAGAAGTGAGAGCTAGAGAGAGAAGTGCAATAATATGCTTCAATAGAATGAATTTGTAACCCCTATAACTACTCCCAAGGGGAGTATTTATAGAGAAAATTAGGGTTGGGCTCCCAAGTCTTGGGCTTGGGAGCCCCATCTACAACTGGACCGCTATTGGGCCGAATACAAAGCCACTGGTGGGCTATACAAATGAATAAGTGTAAAATCCAGTTCTGTGAGACTTCCGTGGCCGACGAGGGCATGGCCGATGAGGGCATGGCCGATGAGGGCATGGCCGACGAGGTCACCCAGTTCTCCGGGCTTCTGGATCATATTCTGAGTAGACCTTTTCATGGCCGATGAGGGCATGGCCGATGAGGGCATGGCCGACGAGGTCACCCAGTTCTCCGGGCTTCTGGATCATATTCTGAGTAGACCTTTTCCTGGCCGATGAGGGCATGGCCGATGAGGGCATGGCCGAAGAGGGGATGGCCGACGAGGTCACCCAGTTCTCCGGGCTTCTGGATCATATTCTGGGTGGCCTTCTTTCTGGCCGATGAGGGCATGGCTGATGAGAGCATGGCCGACGAGGTCACCCGGTGATCGTGGTACCTTCTGTTCTTCTGAGTATGTGGGTCGTGGGGCCTAGACCCATATACTCCATCAAAAGCATTTGCTAAGTGACACAAACAGGATGTCAAGACTGAATTTCTATTATAGGCAGGTAGACACATCAATTCCATCAAAACCAGTTTCAAAAACTTTCAAAATGTCATACACATAGATGAAAAATGGTTTTTCCTATCCAAAACATCACAAAGATACTACATGGGGCTACAAAAGCAGGATCCACATAGAGTATGCAAATCCAAAAGATTCATAACTAAAGTTATGTCACTTGGAGCAGTTGGTAGGCCTCTATTTTTAGATAATGACGATATAATTTGGAATGGGAAAGTTGGTATTTTCCCATTTGTTGAGAAAGTGACAGCTAAAAGAAAAAGCAAAAACAGAAGTGCAGGGGTCATGGAAACCAAATCTATGCTGAGCATTAATAAACTAGTGTTTAAAGAGATGCTAATACACACAGTGCTACCTGCAATCAAGTCGAAATGGCCAGAACAATTAAGCAAGGACATCATTATCCAACAGGATAATGCAAGGCCACACATTCTAGATTCTGATCCAGATTTTATGGCTGCCTCTAAAGCAGATGGGTTTAACATTACCCTTACTAATCAGACCTCTAATTCCCCAGATCTCAACATACTAGACCTTGGCTTCTTTAGGGCAATCCAGTCTCTAAAAGACCAAAAAGCACCTAAGAATGTGGATGAAATGCTACAGGCAGATGATGAGGCATTCTATGAGGTTTCACCCATGACTCTCAACAAGGTGTGGCTTAGCTTTCAATATGTCATGTTAGAAATTTTCAAAGTGGAGGGGGGAACAACTACAAGCTACCACATAATGCAAAGGATAGAATGATTTCAGAAGGTACTCTGCCAACAAGCATAAAGGTTGATGTCGAGCTGCTTGAGGTTGTAAGAGGTCTTTTATCCCAATCAGTAAATACTACCAGTACTAGTGAAGACTCAGAAGAGCCAAATAATGGGGAGTTCATACTGGAAGATGATGAGGAATAGTTCATCTCCAGTCATGAACTCTATCCACTATTGTATAGGCCTTATTTTTTGACATTTTGTAAAGGCCTATACTTATTTAAATTTAGAACTGGCCTGTGTGTTTGTCATTTTGTGAAGGCCTAATTTTTTATCATATTATAAAGGCTTGTTTTTGTGAATTAGTATTGGCCTGTATTTGTAGCTACTCAGAATTGAATTCATCATTGTAGCATAACAACAATATGTCTTAGCTTACACATTGTCATCATAGCACCATGCCTTACCATATCAGCCTGTCACAAGCCTAAACAGACCTTCCAATTGGTCATCACAACATAGAACAAGACCAAACACACGTACATAGCATCCAAAGACCTGGGCTAATGCTTGGTAAGACACGGGAAGGTCATCATACCAGCCTGCCACAGGACTTGCTCAGATCTTCCGATTGGTCATCACAACATACAACAAGACCAAACGCACATACATAACATCCAAAAACCTGGGCTAATGCTTGGTAAGACCTAAGAAGGTTATCATACCAGCCTGCCATAGGACTTGCTCAGACCTTCCAATTGGTCATCACAACATACAACAAGACCAAGCACACATACATAGCATCCAAAGACCTGAGCTAATGCTTGGTAAGACCTGGGAAGGTCATCATACCAGCCTGCCACAGGACTTGCTCAGACCTTCCAATTGGTCATCACAACATACAACAAGACCAAACACACATACATAGTATCCAAAGACATGGGCTAATGTTGGGTAAGACCTAGGAAGGTCATCATACCAGCCAGCCACAGGCCTTGCTACTCCAAATATTCATCACAGATGACAAGCAACAATTTCAGTCCTAAACACACCATATACTCATCATTGCTACCACAAATTTAAACACTTTCACATAAGAAAAGAAGCATTCATGCAATAAAGCAAAATCAGTCAGGCATAGTCACACAGGAAGACTGGTTAAGAAAGAAACTCCCCTGTTATGTGTCGATATCCCACATTCTAGACTCCCAACCAGTTATAATGATTTTTAAGAAGGCCTCCAAACGGGGATTGCGGAAAGGGTGGTTTTGCACCTCTCTCCGTCTTCTTGTGGCTTCAGACTCTGGAACTTCAGCCATCTCCTTATGTTCTTCACTGTTCGGTATCACAACCATCTCCTTCTGCTCTGAAAGTTGTCTGTGTTCGTCCAACTCTTCTTCATTGTCCGGAACCACCAGCTCCAACGGACCTTCACCGTCTACCTCGTCCAACTCCTCTTCGCTATCCGGAACCACAAGATCCTCCATGCATTGATTGTATTCCATCGGATCTTGACCAAGAGTTCGAGGGCTTGATTTTGCATCCATGGAAGTCAGAGTAGGGTTTGAGAATTTCAGAAAAGGAGCAACGATTAGACGACGAAGGAGCTAGTGGAATTGAAATCAGAGAAGGAGAGAGTTTTATTCCGTACAACAATGGAGCCGGTGGAAGACTGAAGCATAGGGAGATCGGAACTGGGAAAGAGAGAGAGGGAGATGGGTCGATGAGGGTTAAGATGTGATAGGCTGCGCAGAGAGTATAGGGGTGGGAGGATACAGAAGTGGCAAGGTAAAAAATAAAGAGGGGTATAAGGGGGTTTTTAGGTGGGGAAACTTTCCTTTTTTAGTAAGTGGGAATAATTTTTTGGAACATCCTAAAAAGAAAAGTGGGAAGAATTTTATGGGACGGAGGAAGTAGTATCTTTGTTCTTAAATAGATGTAACATGTTGAATTTTCAGTATTCACATCTTTTACTATTTCCAAACCGTCACTTAAGCCACTGTACTAAAAAATATCATATAAGTACGCCTACTTTACAAAATGGATCGATTTCATCATTTAATCAGCTTTTGACCTGTAATAGAAGGTTTTTAATACTTAAAATTTTCAAAAAATTATTAAAATTTGAAGAAATATATACAAAAATTGTGAAATTTTTTAGCATATCAAAGTCAATATTTTTTAGTTTTTAAAAATATATGTATATTTGACATCTATTTAAAAGGTTTTTAAAGTTTTATTTTTATTTTTTTATTTTCATATTATTTTTTCAATTTTATAATTTTTTTATGTTTTTACTTTAATGTTATAAAATTTTTATCTATTTTAATATTTATACTATTTTTATATTATTATTAGAATATTTATTAAAATTAATTTGAATGTTTGTAAGATTTATCAATATTTCTAATTTAATTTTTTAAAAAATAACATGCAATAGCAGGTCAAAGAGCTTGATTGATTGTATTTTAAAAGTAGACGTACTTATATGATACTTTTTTAGTACAAGGGCTTAAGTGACATATTAGAAATAGTAGAAAGGTTTATTTGACCTTTTTTTCTATAACATATATCCCAAACTTTATATAAAAAGTTATGTTAGCATCATGATCATATATTTTTTTCTTAAATATATTTTATGGTGTTAAGTACAAAATTGTAAATACATAAAACATTTATGAGGATGTAATTAAAATTGAATTGTACTGGATGTAATATTATTTATTTCACAAATAAAATTATAGAATGTTAATTGTATTCTAACAAGGCTTAAGGTATATATGAAAAATATATAATCATGGTGTTAAAATAATTTTTAATGTAAAATTAGGGATACATATATTACGTATGGGAGTTTGGGTATACACCCCACCCCCATTAAAATTATGTTCTTCCAAATAAGGGGTGTTTGGAACTGATTCTGTTTCTGCTTATTTTTTAAATCAAAAGAAGAATTAGAATCATTTTTCAGAAAATTAGAGCATCAGAGTTACTTAAATGGCGCCCCCATCTCCTTCACTGTTCACACTGATTCAGCAGCACGAACTGTCGAAGTTTATTCCCATCTTTCTTCCTTGGTTTCACATATATCAATATATGCATATACATCATATCCATGAATATCCTTTCTATGCTAAGCGGAATTCTCGCTACCCCTATTAGATGCTATCCATATCCTCATATCATCCTATGGAAATCTTCTCGAAAAAATTCCAGCTGTTACCCTAAATACGGTCTGGTAATTAGTGGCTCAAGTCATTCTGGGCATATGACTATCCAAGCTTCAGGTTTGAAAGACAATGGAGAGTTAGAAGATGACGAGAAAGCTGCAAAAGGGTCTGGGACTACGGCCAGAGGAAGAAGGTTGTTGAGGGTTCGGGAGGAGAAGAGGAAACGAGAATATGATCGTCTTCACAACTATCCTTCTTGGGCCAAGTATGTCTTCACTTTCATCTTTTTGTTTTGTTTATTACAGTAGTTTTTTTGATTGTTTTCTGGAACAAATGTAGAACTGGTGACTTGAATTGAGTTTGTACTTTGTAAAGAGCAGGGTGTTGGAAGAGGCCTGCCAGCATGACACAGAGCTTAGATCCGTTCTGGGGGATAGTATTGGAAACCCTGAGCTTATGAGGAAAAGGGTAACTTATCAAATTTGGAAGATTCATTCTCTTTGAAATTTTAGGGCCCGTTTACTAAGAGAGATATTTTCCTGTTTTCTACTTTTGTTTTTCGTTCTCCAATTTTCTGTTTTTATTTTTCAGTTTTTCTATCTCAGTTTTCTGTTTCTATTTTCTAGTTTTCCATTTTCAAATCTGAAAACATGTTCATCAATTTTTTCACCCAGTTCTGTGATCATCCATAAGACTTACACGTTTACTTCACGGGTTACTAAATGGTGCTTATTAAGACTCGCGTTAATAAGCGACGCATAAAATAAGCAATGTTATAAGATCATGTTTACTTCAAAAGGTTTAAAACACCGTTTAACATTAAAATGTCCAAAATAACCCTATACATATATAAACACACACATTCATGAACACAAATATATAATATAATATGTGGGGTCAATCACCTCGTACGTGTACCCATACTCCTAATCCCTACCCTGCCCCTATACCTCGTACCCCGACCTTACACCCTACACCCAATTCCATGACCCCAGAAGAATGACAAATTGAGGGAAAAGTTTGTCTATATTCAGGGATTATATATATAACTTAGTCTCATTCACAGGCTTGAGAAATTGAAACTACTTTGAGCTAAGTAATCCAATAAACCAGTTAAACATGGTTCTTCTTATAGTATTTATGTAATATTATTTATTATGTTTGTTTCATACATCAGTTCTTTGAACTGTTATCTTGATAGGTTGAAGAAAGGGTTCGAACCAAGGGACGAGATTTTCAAAAGTCTAAAACTGGATCTGTCCTTGCATTTAAAGTCAGCTTTAGAGAGTAAATAGTAAACCAGCCCTTCTTATACTTGTAGCCTTCTCTGCTTCTTTTCCTTCAGTATGACACTATTACTCCTTTTTCACTCTTATACTTGGTTTTGAATATTTTACAGTTTCAATCCACTTGATTCGTACATATGGTTTCAGCTATACGGAGCACCATCTGATCGGGAAGTTGATCTTTTTGGCAGTGTAAGTTGATTGTTTCCTTCCTTCACTCTCCACAATATTTTCACTAATATCTCCATTCATGCTATATCATGTACATTGCACTGAGATCTTAGAGTATCTGGTTATTAAAAAACTCCTTATAAGATTTTCTGTTGCAGGTTGTTCAGGCATGGTATGTCATGGGTCGTTTAGGTGCCTTCAACTCATCTAATTTGCAGGTCAGTTTTTCAGTTCAAGTTTTTAATTTCTGGTATTGTTTTGCTTTCTGTTATAGTTATCATGATAATTGCACTGCATGTGGAACTTTAAGGTTTTGTTTGGTAGTCAGTGGTTGATCCAGTTAGGATCCTTGGGGGGGCATGTGTCATCTGACTCTTTCTAGTTGATAAAATTCGCACTTTTACCTGCTCCACTTTCATTGTATAGAAATTATTATTACATGCTCCCCTTTTCATATTTGGCAACTTCTCTCTTTTTCGTCCCTAGAAGACATAAATACCGTGACTTTTTCTTCATTTATTACCAACTGTTTATATTATTTTACACTACTTACTATCACTGCAACTTCATACTTTAGATTTCTGGAGAACTGTATAAGAGCAACTAAAAGTGAAGAGAGGAAGTACTACTTTCAAGTTATAATTGTATGCATGATTTGTTAAAATGTGCAATTAAATACATGTAAGACTCCTAATTTTAGCAGTGTTAGGTATCTATAGGTATTAAAGTTTATTATGCCCACCCGAATATAATATCTGTATACGCGACTGATTTGGATGTAGGGTTTCACATGGGAAGATTTTGGAGGTGTATATGTTGGTATGTTTGAGGTTTGGTAAAGAATAAAAGCAACTCATTACATGATATTTTAGGAGAATACTTGAAACTGTAATTATTACTCAGTACTACATATAAGTGTCGAAATTATGAGGGATGTGCTCCAATTATCTTGAAAGGAACTTCAGAATATTTTTCTGACTTGCAGAAAGTGTGCTGATTAAGGTTGTGTATATCGTTGCATTTCCTAGTTACCATTATATTCCTTTTCACAATTTGAAATGTGTGTACTGTATTTTGTGTCTTAAAAGTACCCTTCAAGAATGATGAACATGTTTCAAGTATGTTGGACAACTGAATGAATGCAGGTGGCCAATTCATTCATGGTCAACACCAATCCTCTCTACGATGCAGATGTTGGGTTCAAGGTGATGCCATCGTCTTTTCATGATATTAGCAATGTCGAGTTCCAGGACAATTGGGGTAGAATTTGGTACGACTAACTTTTCCTGATTGCTGATCAGTAATAGAGTATTAGTATGTTATTATTATTACCTTTAAATACTTTCTGCTATCACGCAAAAACTAAAAATAATATCTACTTGGAAATTAATTTAAATAATGCACTATTTCAATATATACCGAAAATGATGCGGAATCACTTACTGACAACAAATTCAGGCATGAAACCTATAAAAACGATATCAAACCATCACATGAAGCTTATTTTAAAAGGGAGCCACTTATTTGATGATTTTAAATAAATTTTTGATGAATTAAGTGATCAGATTTATAGTAAGAATACGACTTCAGATCGTTATCGTTATATATTCAAATATGTGGTATTATTGTAAGTGATTTTTAAAATATGTACTTGGTATTATTGTTGATTGACTGGTGTGAGTTGGTACTATTTAAAATTACTTTCTGGTATTACTATTATTATTATTATTATTATTATTATTATTATTATTATTATTATCTTTATTGTCATTATTATTGTTATTATTGTTATTATTGTGGGTGTAAATTCTGGAGATAAGCCTGCTTATATGGAGCAGATGCATAACAGGGTAGATCTTGGAACGTCGGATTTCTTTTCAATCGACGTGCTTCTCAACTGCTTGACAGTGTTGAGCTCAGAGTAAGCTCCAACTATGTGAATTTTGTTTGTCATACACATTTTTTACAGAAGTAAAGACGTAAAAGTCTTGCACAAATGTATGCGCAGATACTTAGGCATTCAGCAGGTAGTGTTTGGTGGTCGCCGCATGGGCGATTGGGAAGAAGGGATGACAGACCCTCAAGATGGATACAAGTACTTCAAAATCTGATAATGGTGGAGAAGAAGAAGAAGAAGAAGGAAGAGCTTCATACTGCCCAATCCACACACATCCCTTTTCCTACTGACTTATATGAGATATCATATCATGAATTGTAAAGATTGGAAAATCGGTTTCACTAAGATTATAATGCCTCCAACACCATGTAAATCTTTGTGAACCCACCGAGTTAAAGCAGGAAGATCTAGTGATGCCAAAGGATCGGCAACATAAATTCCGGCTAACATATGTCTGCACCATGAATCTTACCTCAATATCTACTTGTAGCCAACATCTTCTTTTTCCGGAGAGATTTAAAGCCAATGAAAAGAAAGAAGAGAATTGAAATTGAAGATGGAAGCGTGCGGGTTGACCAAGAAAAGGACAAACGAAGAAGAAGATTGAGAGTTGAGACAGAAGCATCCGGGTTGACCAATGCACGAACCAAGAAAGAAGAAAATGAAAAGAAAACAGAAAAAACTGAAAGTTAAACAAAGTAAAATCAAACAGAAAAAAATGCCACATAAGGGAATCACCTGCTAAATCAGGTCACCTACAGGTTAATCGGTGTAAATGACTGCTTTTTACTTGTAGGAACATGAATATGACACTCATTTAAGTATAAGGATCTGAGTGATTTTAAAGACAGTTAAAGGGCTTATTAAACCATTTTCTGTGATAGTTAAATTGCGATCAACTTCACAGTAGTGTTACCCCATTTATTAAATCGAGTATTTGTGCTTATTCAATTGTATTGTACCTGTTGACCACTTTGGAAGTTTTGCGCTTGAAGTTCAAACAATTGGACAATGGTTGAATTTTACGAGTCAAATCTTTTGCTATAAAATGTGGCTGCTAGAAGGAAGAGTCCATAGAAGAAGCTACTTAGCTAAGTATGAACCAGACAACTGGAATGTCATAGCCATATTTACCTTTACACATAATTGACTGAACCAAGGGAGTGTTTGCGGCAAATTAAAAAAAAAAGTGGTTTTCAGTTTTTGCCTTTAAAAAGTTAAAATGAGTATTTTCAAGTGTCTGTTAATGTTTAAATTAAGTACTTAATAGCTAAAAACTACAACCATGTGAAAGAGTGCTTTTTTATCGTATGAAGAAGAGTGCTTTTAACTACTGATTACTTTTATTATTATATAAACATATTTTTACTAAACACAATTGACTTTTAGTTTTTCAAAAACATAGTTTCCTTGAACACTGCCAATTTTTATTATTAAACATTTTCTCTAAAGGCACCTAAAACCCACTTTTTAAGAGCTGAAACAACCACAAACACTCCAAATGTTACATGTTCAACACTTATTTGCAATTTGAACAGCACTCCACAATCTCTATTGATTTTTATGCTATGTTTGTTTGGGGTTAACTTAGGTTCTTGCAAGTTTAATTTTTAATGAATCGAGTTTGTTTATATTTTTAGGACTCTAACCTAGATTGTTACTAAATTTAGGTTCACTTCACAAAACTCCTAAAAACCCGCGAAAACCCAAAATTGAAGAACCTCCGAATGGGGGTGTTGGAGGTTATTAATAGCCTGATATCTATTTAAGAATATGCCTAATATCTATTTAGGAATTCTTTGTATTTTGGCAACTTTTCTAATATAAATATATCTATCAGGACACCTATTGGAGTACCCTTTTCCATTATTTCACATAGTATCAAAGCTAATTCCGGATGTGGTTTGATTGCTTGTTTAGCACCATGATTACAAGAAGCTTGTTAAAGGTCTATTTGGCCCATTTATACACCCCGATATTGTCCAGCCCGGTTCGGGCTAAAAGGGTGTGTTAAAATATTTGTCCCACACCGGAAAGTTATAAAACAATAAAACACTATATAAGGCATTGAGTTACTCTTCCTATCAGGCTGACCTTTTAGGATGGAACCTCATGTCTTAACATGGTTTTCACATTGTATCAAGAGCTCTAAGTTTTTAGACACAAATTTTTTCTGGTTCCCATGAACCCTAGTACAGCCGCCCCGCCTCGGGGTCTACTGCTGCCACATCTACGGCAGTCTCGGATCCTTTGAGGATGAGCAGGGCTGATACGGCGCCGATCACCTTCTCCGTGTCGCTGACCACAGTGCTTGCTTCCAGTGTGCCGTTAAGTTTGTCGCCTCCTGTTGCCTACGTTCGTGCAACTCACCTTCTCCACGTCGCTGACCACGGTGCTTGCTTCTAGCGTGTCGTTGAGTTCACCGCCCGCTGCTGCATACTTTCATTCTCTAGCCAAGTCCTGTTCGGCCGCTCGTACAACTGCTTCAGAGCGCTACACCGGTCTCACTCTCTCCGACGACCCTGTCATGATCCCATTGTCTTCTACTGGGCCACCTGGCCGTCAGCCAAGATCCTCTCCGCTGCCCACTTCATTCAATGCTCTTGCTCAAGGTATCTTCAGGGGTCTCCAAATTATGGACAATAATTGTTGTATTTCTTGGTCCTAATCTGGTTTCTTGGAAGTCCTAGAAACAACCTACTTGGACAAATATGTGCCTCCTAATCTTTCGTTGGCGGATATATTTACTAAGGGGTTTTCTAGTCTGCAATTTCATTTTTTTAAAAGACAACCCGCACGTTGTATATCCTGCATAGTTTGATGAGGTGTAATAGCCTAATGTCTATTTAGGATTATGCCTAATATCTATTTAAGAATACTTTGTATTTTGACAACTCTTCTGTTATAAATATATCGTTCAGGACTCTTATTGGAGTACCTTTTCCCATTATTTCACAGTTATGTCATTAATGAGTTAGAGCTTCTTCATCCAAATAACAATTTATTACATTACCTTAGGTTCGCCTAATTTGTTTCTAAATGACATTTTACATATGCACCTAAGTTCACTTAGTTTTTGTTAAAACCTAGGTTTACTTCATTACACTAGATTTACCTAAGTCTACCCTACCCAAACAGAGCATTAATAGCAATGATAAATGAATAAATGGATGAGAAAAAGGTTATATACAAAAAATGGGGAAGCCAATGAAGGGCTGATACTATGATATCACATTTTAAGGTCTAAACCTAGAGATTACACATTTACACCGCTTCAATATACAATATTTGACTATGGCAAATAAGAAAGGGCTCAGAACTGATCCTTGGGGCACTCCGATAGTAATAGAAAACTCTTCAGTCCTCCCTACACTAGTACGGACACTTGTACTACAATCCTCATACATGTCCATGATGATGCTGATATACTTGCGTGATACACCTTTTCTAGTGAAGGCCCACCAAAGAACTTCTCGAGATACCACCATTTAATAATTGTTTTAAATTTATAGAAATATGATAATATGTTTGGAGGAGACAAGGATGATTAATTTGATAGAGGAGATCATTAATAAGGCAATGAATAAGCTATGAATAGAATTGACCTCTAAATAACACGTGGCTATGATTTTTTAATGAAGTAACATGTGACAAATGGTACTTCCAATAGGGCTAGTAATTATATAATATATATACTCCCTCCGTCCCACTAACAATGAGACAAGAGGGAGTGACACGCAAACCAATAAAAAGTGTTTTGTGTGGTTGATATTAAATTGATAAAATAAGAATAAAGTAAGAATGATGTAGAGCCACATAAACTTTACCAAATTTGGTATGAGACGATCTTAGTGGGACGACTGAAAAGGTAAAATGAGACAATTTTAGCGGGACGGAGGGAGTAAATCTTATATAGATATAAATGATAAATAGATATAAGAATATGATAATATATTAGGAGAAAAAAGAACAATTAATTTGATAGATGATAATTAATAAGACAATGAATAAGCTGTGAATGGAATTCACTTCTATATGACATGTGACTATGAATTTGAATGGAGTGACACGGGGTTGTGAATTTTTAATGGAATGACATGTGACTAACGTTACCTTCAATATGACATGTAATTGCATAATATGTAGATGTAGATATAGATATAGATATAAATTTTTTGTACATTTAATAGTTGTTTTTAATTTATAGAAATATGATAATATGTTTGGAGGAAAAAGGATGATTAAATTGATAGAGATAATTAAAGGCAATAATGAATAACTTATGAATAGAATTCACCTCTAAATTACATGTGGCCATGAATTATTTATAGTGGCATGTGTCAAATGTTACATCCAATATAACATGTAATTTATAATACATATATATATATATATATATATATATATATATATATAGGGAGCGGTTCCGGTAAGAACAGATCTTAGGAGAAAAATGAGAATGAATCTGGACCGTTGGATTGTATTATGTGGAACCCAATTGTGCATTTGGTGAAATTGAAATGTGCATTAAATGATATTGAAATGTGCAAAATAAAAATTTAAAGTCAAGTGTGCATCAGATGAAACTGATATGTGCGAGAAAAAAAAGTACAAAAACAACATCACATCGTACTTTTTATTCTGCACATTTCAGCTTCACCTAGTGCACATTTCAATTTCACGTAATGCACAATTCAACTGCACATAATGTCACTCTATCGTACCCTTTGTGATGCACATTTCAATGTCATCTAATGCACACAGAATTTCACTTGAAGCAAATCTAACGGTCCAGATGCGTTCTCATTTCTCTCATAAGATCGTGTTCTTATTTGAACCAAAATCTCTCTCTCTCTCTCTCTCTATATATATATATATATATATATATAATACATATGATAAGAGATCAAATACAAACCATGCTTAAAATACTAACTTACAAACTCAATAATATGCATCACTTTGAACTTCAATAAATCAGCTATGAATAGAATTCTCATGTAAATGACATGTGGCTATGAATTTAATAGAGTGACATTCGACAAATGTTACCGCCAATATGACTTGTAATTGTATAGATATAGATATAGATATAGATATAGATATAGATATAGATATAGATATAGATATAGATATAGATATAGATATAGATATAGATATAGATAATAGATAGATGACACAATGACCACCTCGGCTAAATATTTATATCTTACGCTTATCTTTGATTTTTTTCAACTGTTTTAATATTTCGACTATTGTGAATGAGAAACTTTAGTACTCCCTCCGGTTCCAAAATATATTGACACTTTGACTTCACAGTTTTTAAGGAAATAAACAATGTTTGACACTGTTTGACACTGTGTGACACTGCTTTGTGTAGATTTATTTGCCAAATAAGGCAAATAAGGAAGTGCAAAGATCTTTCTGGTACTCCTAAAAATAGAAAGTGTAAAGATCTTTCAGAACCGGAGGGAGTATATGCCTTCAAGTTTTTCTCTTCTAGTCATTTGAATATTACGATAATTACACTTTATATTCTTAAACGAATAGTAGTATGACAATATTAAAAGAGGAACATTAAAAGCGCTATTGTAATATTCTTATGACCTGGGATGTCTTCACATCAAATGAAAAATTTGATTTATATGCGGCGAGTTTTATCTATTTAAATCTGGTTTGATATAATAAATATTTGATATAATAAATATATGATACATGTGTATTTCACTATATCTAAGTTTGATAAGATATGATGTAATCAAGCCAAAGTGAATACATTTTCATAGTGGAAAGACGTAAGCTCTATATTTATGTAGCACCGATACGGGTACGCGGAAACCGCGATACGGGTACGGTCGTACGGGGATACTACAAAATAAAAAAAAGTAGGATACGAATATGGGGGTATATTTATAAATATTCTGTAGTAAAAATTATGAGGGTGTATTTATAAATATTAAAAATTATGGGGGTGCATTTATAAATATAAAAAATTACGGAGTACAAGTTTGTTTTGAAAATATATACATATATTATCTTCTGCCCGTCATCGCATCGAAACATTTAATATTATCAAGATAATTAGAAATAAATTCATACATTATTTCATATACACTAGTGCATCTTGAATTATAAATATAGTCGGTAAGTCTATACACAATCCATGAAATTCAAGACTATCGGAAGTTAGGGATATTGTGTCTCTGATACCAAAGCTAATTGGTCTATAATTTCAAGATATTGTTTAACAAGCCGATTTAACTATAATTTGAATTATAAATATAGTCTTGAATTTTGGAGTTTCTCTTTTTCTTGCTGCAACTTCGATGGGTCAAAGTTCACAGCCATAGCTTAGTGCCGGATTTTCTTGAACGGAAAAAGAAGAAGAGGGAGGGGGCTCACAGGGCTGGGGAAAGGAATGTTGAAATCAAATTGATTTTTTAGTGTTCCACGATTCTGAAGTGAAGGAGCGAGCCTTCTGCCCGTTAGAAGACCCAATTTGCCTAGTTGAAGAAAAGGCTTCCAGCACTTGGGTCGTGAGTTCTGAATCTGCACGCTTTCTGCCAACCATCTCCTCCCAATATAGTTGCCTATCCATGGTTGTCGTTCCTTGCTGCCAGGGAAATCCCACTGCACAGTTTGTTGCCCCTCGCGCTCCGCTATGCTTTGTTGCCTAACACACGGAAGATTGAAGCTCCATCGCATATCAGACGACCTCCGTGCTAGATGACGATTCCAGTCATTGAATTGGCGACGGAAACCACTGAGCGATTCCCGTCGATTCCACTCATTGAACCACCTTCACTCTACCAAGCTGCCGATCTCCACCAACGTGGATGCCGTCTCCCAGAGTACAAATCGAGCGTTCTCTTGGCCCGCCAGGGATCTCCTCTTTCGGGCCGATGAAAGGGTTCATCCATCTGTCTGCACCTCTGCGCCGCCCAAGCGCTCATGCTCTCCCACTGGAAAGAAATGTTTAAATTAAATTATTAATTGAGCTCAAAGTCTGCAATTTACGGATGCAAAAAAGACGCTTTGACGGCAAAGCTAACCCCGTGACCAGTCCCTGTGACCAGTTGCCTTGCCACATAACCGCTTATATGCCTCTTTACGTACAATTAGCTAAAGCAGTGAGTGACACGAACATTATTTTTAAGACCATCCCACCCCTAACAATATTCAGGCTTATACAATTTTAGAGATTAGAGATACACTAGTGTATCTTGAATTATAAATATAGTCAGTAAGTCACTAATTTGTAATCGGAAACGAGTCAAACAACCACAACTTTGACATTAAATTAAAAGTGCAAGTACTCAAAGTTTTTGGACAATGAAGATAAAAAAACAACACTCTAATAAAAAAATTAAAAGTTCTAATACATATTTCCATCAGAGCTACTAGTTTCCAGTGATAACGGTGTCATTTGGATATCAACGTTTTGGCTAAATATTAGCGTGTTTGACCATTTTAGCGTGTTGAACCATAGCAACCGCTGCTTTTTTCCTGTTTGGCAAATGGAGGTTGGCCTTAGCGTTTGGAAGAAACCTCCAAAAATGAACACGCTACTAATCGTAGCGTTTCAACTTTGGCGGGTTGAAACACAGAACTGAATTCCACGGTTGCCCCTCTGTCCTTCCGCTGCAGCCTGCGACCGTTTGTCTTTTCAATCATTTGATGCTCCTCTTTAGTTTGTTTCTCTTGCAGATTACACTCTCCATAGAACAATCCATTGAATCTATGCTTTGATTTCAATGGGTATCGAAATCTGTGAATACGAGGATACTTCGTATATAATACTCCGCAGATATGTATCCTTCTATTTTTAGGTTTTTATTAATGCTTATGAATTCATTAATTTTTATTATTATATTATTATTTAGTTAATTTTAAAGTTAAACTGACAGATATAATGTACATATAAATTAGTATAGTGCTCAATTTAAATTAAACAAAAAACATACTCCCTCTGTCCCTTATAACTTTGACAACTTTCCTTTTTTGGTTGTCCCAAAAACATTGCCACTTTCCCTTTTAATCAATCAATTTGTGGCCTCTGTTATTTCTCTCTCCTCTGCACAAATCTCTACCACGCAGTTTTTACTTTATTATTTTACGTGTCCGTCAAACTTGGCAATCCTTTTAGGGACGGAGGGAGTGCTAAACTTTTATAATGTCCTTTTTAGTCTTTTTTCATATAACCGCTAAAAACAAATCGCTAGTTTACCAAACATTTTTCTGCAACCTGCTAAACAAACCCACTGGTCAAATCCGCTGATCGGATCCGCGATTTACTACCCGCCAATAAAATCCGCTATCCGCTAACCGCTAACCGTTGAGTGCCAAACGGGCCCAACGTCATCTTTCAAAAGGTCACCCTCCAATTCTCATTCATTTAAGGAAAAATTGGCAAATTCACGTATTCTTATATCTTCCATGCTCACAAAGTCATCCCCACCAACATCCCATATTTTTCTTGTCGTGCACATACTTAGTTGTGTGCAAGAATAAAACAAAGTAAATTTATTTTTTAGTTTTTCATTTTTTAAGAATTTTATTATATAAATTTTAGATGTTTTTTTATTAAAAAAGTTGACACGTGTATCCGCTAGGATACGAGTATCTGAAATTTTAAAATAATTATCAAACAGTTGGAAACTTTTAATAAATTACAGTTATGGCCCGGAAACGTATGGTACAAATATCCTAGAGTATCTGATACGGGAACGATACGCCGATACGGTACCTTAGTAAAGTATCTGTGCTTCATAGTTTATATATTGAAGTTTGTATAAAAGGAGGAAAAATTAACAAGAATAACAAATATTTTATTCAAAGTTTCATGTGGTTTATACAGAGCTAGAGGATTACAAATGGAGACAAGCTAAAGCTTGTTTATTTTAAGTTTTATTATTACTAGCTTTCAAGCCCGTGCGATGCACGGGCAGTATGTAATTTAACTAATTTGAAATTCAATTTCTATCGGATCACATATAATGTGATTTAAAAGAAAAATAAACTTAGTCTAATATAGAGTGCGTTTGATAATACTAATGTAAATAGAATTAACTTATTTTGCTGAAATTGATTGAATTTTGGTTAAATAGGTGGAATCTTCTGAATCATGAAAAATATATGTGAAATATATTCCATTTGTGAAACAAAGAAAAAAATATATGAAAAAAAAGTTAAATTGGTCTTCTACATAAGCATCTCAAGTAAACATAAGGGTTAATTATCAAAGTAGGACTAAAAGTGACTCACTTTGCACAAATAGGACCAAAAACTAAACTATGTTTTCATAGGACTAATTATGTGTGTCTTGGACAAATATACCCTTCTAGCTATTGAAATGTTTTAATTCATAATAAAATAATAAAAAATAATAAAAATTCGTAAAAAATACTAACAAACTAATAAAAAAATTTCGATAATAATAATTAATTACTTTTTTTTTCAAAAAATAAAAAAAATAAAAAAAAATAAAAAACTCAAAAAAATAAAAAAAAATTCACCGCTGCCTCTGCCGCCTCTGCACCACCACCTCCAGTCACCAGGGGAAAAAATGCCAAGTTCATTACGAATGCCATATTTATGGCAGAAAACAATGAAAATGTTGGCATTTACAAAGAGAAATATGTCACTTTTGTGGCATTTTCAGAAAAAATGGTAGTTTTTAAGAAAAATGACATTTTTTTCACTGGCTCCAGGTGATGGTGCAGGGAGGTAGTACAGGCGGTGGGAAAGACATCCATATTTTTTTAATTTTTTTTATGGAGTTTTACTATTTTTTATTAATTTTTTTTTAAATTATTTGTTTTTGATTTTTTTAGTTTATAAATATTTTGTAAATTTTTTAATTATTTTTCTACGATTTTTTGAATTTTTTAGAATTTATTATGAATTAAACATTTAATTATGGCTTTTGACTATTTTTAACTCATATTTAATGAAAGGGTAAGAATGGAAGGTAAAAATAGGTATGTTTCCAAATAGGACTCATATGGTCCTATTTTGGAATAAAAACTTAGCAAATCGTGTTTTGAGTTTTTGCCATTGTTTTAGTCCTATTTGAAGTAATTTCTATAAACATAATTGTTATGAACCCAATAATAAAAAAATTCTATATTTCTTTATTGTTTAGATCTTACCGTTTACTCATTAATAAGAACGTTTTTAATTGAATTAAAATTTCGGGTTTGATTTGGTATGAATTAATATGGTCCATTACATGTCTGTTTTTTAGGTGACTTATTGTTATAATTATTAAAGTTTGATCTGATTTGATTTAATCTGGAACTGAAATCAATCCAATTAAAAACATTCTATTAAAATAAAAGTAGAAATTCGTAAACCTATAAAGATTTTCTAATTTGGATTAGGAATCTATTTCAAAAGTGAAGACATATTTGAATTTTAGATGTAAAATAAGAAACAACAAAAAAAAATGAAAGAATGGCATGGATATTACTACCTAGAGTTGGACTTAAGGTACACACTTTTGGTGTACACACTTTTTACACATGTCTGTGTAAGGTTTTTTTTATGTCTGTACAGACATAACGTATTTTAAAAATACGTTATGTCTGTACAGACATAAAAAAAACCTTACACAGACATGTGTAAAAAGTGTGTACACCAAAAGTGTGTACCTTTAGAATTTTTCTACTACCTAACTTTCATTGGACAAAAATATAACTCAAATTGATTTTGCCAAAAAACCAAGCTCCTTCTGCGCTATCCATCTTATTTGATGCGCAGCAGCTTTCATTGGACAAAAGCAAGTCAGATCTATCGATGCGAATATGATTCTGCACTTCGTCGCCATTCTTTTTCTTCTCTTTCTCTGTGACAACATCGCGAATGCAGCAACTGATTCCGAACGCTATGTGGCGAATTTGAGCTTCGAAGGTCCCGGGACAGGGACGGGCCCAAGATTGGGGATGGGGCGAGGAGCAGGGGTAGGGTTACAGACGATGGGCGGTGCTGGTGGCTGAAGGTGAGGTGAGGCATCAATTCGAGATCTGGTTTGGAGGTGGTGACGGTAAGGTGGCAAGGGAGCGGTGGCGCGATTGAATCTGGATGGTTAGGGTTGCAGCAGGTGGTGCGGCGTTCGGGGAGGGGGCTTGGGCCGGGAAGGTGGATGGCCACTGGGAAGGGTGCTGGATTTGGGGGTTGTGGCAGGGAAGGATGCGGGGCGGCGCCGACAACAACAGCCGCGACGGTGACGGGCATTGGGTTGGATGGTGGTCATTGGGTTTGGCCAGCATGGGGTCGGGAGGGGCAGGGCAATGGACTGTCTAAAGGTTGACGATGGGATGGTATTTCCGGTGAGGGGCTGGCTGCGGTGGAGGATGTTCACTGGTCAGCTATGGCGGTCACCGGTAAAATTTCCATCGATCATAGTGACACATTTTGCGGCGTCAGTGACATTCGAAAGTGACATAAAATTCTTTCAGTGACATGTAAAAGTGACATAAAATTCTGACAGTGACATCATGTTTTCCAAATATATGATCTTCTTACTCACATTTTTGTCCAATTGTAAAATGGTCACATTATTGGAAATTGACTTTGATTTTGTAATATTGAAGGAAAAAGCCCAAAAAAAATTACTTATTTGGCTAAGCTAAACATATTTACTTGTGAAAAAATATATACTTTATGTTGGTTATAATTTTTAATTTCATTTTTAATTATTTACTTATTTGAAGCATACTAATTTATTAATAGGTGTCAAATTAATAAGTAAACTAATTTGCATATTTGTTTCTATTTAACTCGGTGTAGTCAATTAATATAAATTAGTTTCCATATCAATAAACGTTATTAGAATTTCACTTTGATAACAAAAAATTATTTTACTTATTTGAAGCTTACCAAGTTAACTAAGGTGGATTTATAAGGATTTTTGTTTCCATATCATGTAATGAAAAATAGAATCTAATAAAAACAAAAGGTATAAAAATAAGTAAATAATTGTTATATATAATGAAATGACAAGATTATGTGGCGCTTTGTATGCTCTTAAAAAGTTCCTCTTATATATATATATATATATATATATATATATATATATATATATATATATATATATTGATTTTATTTTAAGTTTGTTTAAAATTTGTTTATAATTACTCCTTATAATCTAGTATCATCTTTTAAAGTAGGGAAAGTTCCCGAAATAGGACTAAAACAGTTTCAAAATTCCAAAATAGGGCTGTCATGTTTTTTATTTCCAAAATAGGATTAAATACTACCAAAATATGATAGTAATAAAAATATGACAGTCCTATTTTAGAATTTTCAAACTATTTTAGTCCTATTTTGGGTAATATCTCTTTAAAGTAATCCCACACTTAATCACCCAACACGTCTATTGATATATGGTAAGAGTAATCCCACAAAGTTTTTGTTAGAGTTAATTATCAAAATAGGACTAAAAGTCATTCACTTTTCACAAATAGGACCAAAAAATGAACTATGTTTGCATAGGACTAATTATGTGTACCTTGGACAATTATACCCTTATAGCTATTAAAATGTTTTAATTCCTAATAAAATAATAAAAAATAATAAAATTCGAAAAAAATACTAAAAAATTAAGAAAAACATTTTGATATTAAAAATTTAATTATTTTTTTTTTCAAAAAATTAAAAAAATTAAAAAAAAATTAAAAAAAATAAAAACTCAAAAAAAAAATCGCCGCCGCCTCTGCCGCCTCAGCACCACCACCTCCAGTCACCAGGGGGAAAAAATGCCAAGTTCATTACGAATGCCATATTTATGGCAGAAAAAAATGAAAATGTTGGCATTCGAAAAGAGAAATATGCCACTTTTTTGGCATTTTCAGAAAAAATGGCATTTTTCTGGGAAAATGGCATTTTTTCATCGGCCAGAGGTGGTGGTGCTGGGAGGTAGTACAGGCGGTGGGAAAGGCATCCATATTTTTTTAATTTTTTTTTACGGAGTTTTACTATTTTTTATTGATTTTTTTAAAAACAATTTTTTAAAAAAATAAAGTTTTTTATTTTTTTATTTTATAAAAATTTTATAAATTTTTTAATTATATTTCTACGAATTTTTTATTTTTTTCGAATTTATTATGAATTAAACATTTAATTATGGCTTTTGACTACTTTTAATTCATATTTAATGGAAGGGTAAGAATGGAATGCAAAAATAGGTATGTTTCCAATAGGACTCATATGGTCCTATTTTGGAATAAAAACATAGCAAATCCTATTTTAGGTTTTTGCCATAGTTTTAGTCCTATTTGAACTAATTTTTATTTTTGTTATACGGAATAGTTTCTAATCCCTTACCAACAAACAACGAGTCTAAAAAAAGTAGTAATAATTCTCCGTATTACTTTCATAATTAGTTTATCAAATGGTTGTGAGAGCATCCACATTCATGCTAATTAAATAAACGGATTTTTAATGACACTTAGATTGGCACACAAATTTCTTCAAAATAATCTCACACATTCACTTAAATTACACCATTCACCATCTCAAAATAATCAGATCTTTTGTGGGTCGCGCACTCACCAATTAATACTAGCTGTATAATAATCTTGAGATAATTTGGATTCATATTTCAATCCCGGATTATTTTGTCAAATAATCTCACCAAATAATCTTCGTCACTCAATCATGATCCCAAAAATAATCCGCTGCATCACCCACGTAATTCTAAAATAATGCCGAGTAAACTCAATTACCCTCAACTGATAGCAAGGGAGTGCCACAAAGGTTAGGTCCCGGGTTCGAATCCCGTCAACTGGGATGATGAGTTACTATGCTAAAAATGCATAGGGCATCTGCAAGTACCGGGGATAGAACCCCACTCTCTATGTGTCAGATTGGGATTATAGTCTAATTCACCTCCTCCCAACGTATCCTCCAGTCGGGGTTGGGCCCTCAGCTATGGGTGTCATCCATTTTTTTGAGTAACTCAGTTACCATGGGTCTTTTCTTAAAACACGGAAAAGTGAACATGGAAGGCAAAAACACGGCAAAAAATATGGGATTTCTAAGAATACGAAATTCGGAAAAACATCTTCCGAATATATTAGGGTTAACTATGTCCATTCGGAAACACATGTTCCGAAACATCTTTTTTATACTTTTTTTTAATCCATTCGGAAGATGCTTTTCCAAATCAACTTTCAACTTTCTTTAATTTTTTGTTATCCTATTCGGATCACGAAGTTCCAAATGCTACTTTAATTTTTATTTTTATTTTAGTCATACAACTTAAATTGATATAAACCTATTTTTAATTAATAAATAAATTGGACCCAATTTCCCAAATGTGATGTCCTAATTAGTGGGGTTGGCTTTTTATTCATTTGTATTTCCAGCTTCCTAATTGGAAGTGGCATTTTAAAAAAATAATCAGCTCTCGTTCGGAATAGGAAGTTGGGAATCAACTTTTTGCACTTCTTCAAAATCCCCCTCTTGTTGTCATTCCCTCAATTACCATCAACTTCTTCATCTTCCATGGACTTTATTTTTGAGACTCTACACTTACTCTCTAGTATCGAGCAGTGTGGAAAGTGGAAACCGTGCTTTATGTTGGGAAAGGGAAACGTCCCATCCATTTTCAAGAACCGCTGTTCTCATACTTTCCCACCTTTTTTTCTTGCATTCTCTTTTCCTTCTACAAAGTTTTTATGTCTTGCTCGTAGACTTATCTTGGCTTTGATCTTATTACTACTGTTAAGTCCTGCTCTTTTTACTTCGTTGCAAAGAAACCCCAATTCTTTGACTGAACTGTTATCCATAAAAACACCACCTTTTATGCACATGATCTTGTTCTTGCTAGCACTTGATCAAGTTTCTTTTTCTTTTCTTTTCATGTTGTCTACTCAATCTCAGTAAGACTTGAATCACTTGCTCGAATATGGGGTCTATCTTGTTTGGGTATCTGTGAGACACTGAGACTCACTAAGAGAGTTTGAAGCAACAAATTACGACTCCTACTTTCTGCGATTTTTCTGCGCGTTTAGCTAACAAAATGGAAGAGCCTTCCTCTGTAAAGCGGGAAGTTTGGCCTAAGAATGATCTCATTGATATAGTCTTCTCATGGTCTCTTGAAGACATTTTCGACGACACTCTCTACCGAAACCAGGCATAATCTCTTTTCTATAGTGTTTTATCATTTCATTATGTTTTTAAACGCTCTTTCTTTTTTCTATGAACTAGTTTTTTCTTAGCTTTCACTCTGTCTGTTAGGTTGAGAAAATTCCAGATACATTCCGCTCATGGGATCATTACCTTTGCTGTTATACATTTCCTTTATTGGAAGAAACGCGAGCAACTGTTGCTTCTTCATTAGAAGTAATGGATAAAGCGCCATTTGCTCAAGTGATATCTTTTGATCTGTCAAAGGGACATGGGAAGAGTATTTACTATAAAATAAAGGTGGAGTCTTGGAAAAGAAGGATTAATGATGAAGGAGAGCATTACAAAACATTGCCAGGAGACTTAGTAGTGATCTCGGACAGTAAACCAGAGACACTCTCAGATTTGAATCGTGTGGGTTGGAATTGGACTTTTTCTTCAGTTGTTAATGTGACAGATGGTGAGGACGATGATGGCAATTCCTCTACTTATTTTAAAGTGAAAATGCCTATAGATTTTGGAGACGTTATAGGAGACCATGCAACCATCCATATCGTTTTCTTGGCAAACTTTACAACAAGTAAACGGATTTGGAGTGCTTTGGGGATGACCAGAAATTTGAACATTATTAGCACGGTTTTGCATGCAAGTGCTGAGGTTGGTGACATGTTACTCCAATACTTTGTGTTCTCTATCATTCAAAATATACTGTAACTTAGTGGTGTTTTCTCTTAAGAGTGTCTTTTTATTATGATTCTGATTGATCTTTGTTTGTCACATTGATGAGTAGGGCCATAACGAATGTCATATTTGCTCTCCTCATGCTGATGTAACATCATCATCATCATCATCATCAGCTAAGAGCATAGAGGACAGCTTGCTGGCCAAGCTGAATGAGTCTCAAGCCAATGCAGTGCTTACATGTCTTGAAAGGATGAAATGTCACCATATTTCTCATGTTGATCTTATTTGGGGCCCACCTGGTACCGGCAAGACAAGTACCGTTAGTATACTTCTGTTTATGCTTTTGAAAAAACAGTGCAGAACGCTTATTTGCGCTCCTACAAATGTGGCAATAACACAAGTTGCCTCTCGAGTGTTAAGGCTGGCACAAGAGTGTTATCAAGATGAATCATCTGAGAAGAACCTGTTATACCCGTTAGGTGACGTGGTCCTATTTGGAAACAAGGATAGACTGAAGTTGGGTGAATATATTGAGGAGATCTATCTAGACTACCGTGTCAAAAGGCTTCATGAATGTTTTGGATCACTGACGGGTTGGAGACACTGTATTTGCACTGCAATTTCTTTTCTCGAAGATTCTGTTTCTGATCACGAAGTCTTTGAAGAAAATAAACTAATAAAAAAGAAAGAGTTAATTGAGAATGGTCAAACCTTGGATGAAAGCGTGGAGCCTATATCCTTTGCTGAGTTTCTTAAGTTGCGGTTTGACGGTGCTGTGTTATCCCTCAGAAGTTGCATGGTTACAATGTGTACTCATATCCCAAGGCATTTCATTCAAGAGTACAATTTCCAGGCTATCAATTCCCTGATATGCCACCTGGATTCCCTGAAAGAAGTGTTATTTCAGAAGCAGATGCCATCTGATGAAGATCTGAAAGATTTTTTTTCACAGCCACTAACATCTGAAGTTTTCTCCGATATGTCCTCATTGGTCTGGTTGAGAATCCAGTGCATTTCCATTCTAAAAACCCTTCTAGTTTCTCTCGGAAAACTTGAATTTCCCAGTTCATTAAATGGGGTGTCAATAATGGATTTCTGCTTAAAGCTACCATCCTTGGTTTTTTGCACCTCCTCTAGTTCCTTTAAGCTGCATTCTGTTGAGATGGAACCATTCAAATTATTGGTCATTGATGAAGCTGCTCAGTTGAGGGAATGTGAATCTATCATACCGCTTCAACTACCAGGGATAATACATGCCATTCTTGTTGGTGATGAATGCCAGTTACCTGCAATTGTTCATAGCAACGTGAGTATAACAATTTTTTCAACTCTTGCTAATGTCTAGCATCTACTAACTAAATGCCTTCCATCTAAAAATGGTTAATAGGTGTCTAATGAGGCTTGTTTTGGTAGAAGCTTATTTGAAAGGCTAAGTTCATTAGATCATCCAAAGCTTATGCTTGATGTCCAGTACCGTATGCATCCAGCAATAAGCCGATTCCCGAATTCGTGTTTCTATCAAAATCAACTGAGAGATGCTCCAAATGTGCAAACCAAAGCGTATGGGAGGAGGTTTCTTCTGGGAAGGATGTTTGGTCCATATTCTTTTATAAGTCTCCCCAATGGAAAGGAAGAACTGGATGATGTTGGGCAAAGCAAAAGGAATATGGTTGAGGTGGCTATAGTCATTAAGATAGTGCACAACTTATTCAAATGTGAGTGTATCTACACTTTGGCTTAGGCTTTTTTGCCAATGATTTTGTTTGCCTGGTTCGTCAATGTCTAAGGCTTTCTTTTGATTGCTTACATTGTTTTTTTTGCTAACATGATGGTTTTTCTGAGTTTTATATTTGTTAGCCAGTAAATTCTTTTTTCTTTATGATTTGTTTTCATTTTACTGGATTATAGGAACAACATAACTTCATGAGTTTTCTTGTAAAGTTCTAACTACCCTTTTCCCAAAACACAATTTACCCAGTTTGGCGTGACACCGGAAATGAAATTAGCATTGGTGTCGTATCTCCTTATGCTGCTCAAGTAGTTGCCCTAAAAGATAAAATCGGAAGGAGGTATGATAACCTTGATGGCTTTGCGGTTAAGGTTAAGTCTATTGATGGCTTCCAAGGTGGGGAAGAGGACATCATAATATTATCTACTGTGAGATCTAATCGTGCTGGAACTGTTGGTTTTATGTCTAGTTTGCAAAGAACTAATGTTGCCCTGACCAGAGCACGGTATGTGTTATCTTCTCACCTTTTCAAATTTGAAAGTGAAGTTGCCTGATGTGTATTTTGACAATTTCTTCTGTTTTGTTTTTCCAATGAAGGCACTGTTTGTGGATATTGGGAAATGAAAGGACCCTAATGGATAGCAATTCAGTTTGGAAGGAACTGGTTCAAGATGCAAGGAAACGCCAACGCCTCTTCTCTGCCTCCGATGATTGTGACCTGTCAAAAACTATTTTGAATGTCAAGAAAGAGTTGGATCAACTTGACGACCTGCTTAATGCAGATAGCTTCTTATTCAAAAATCAAAGATGGAATGTAAAATGATTTGTTTACTTTATCCTACCTTTATCATATTTGTATAATTTCTTATGTCAATATGCTTTTATGATGCTATTTGGGAATGCATTAGCATAATTGGTCAATGTATTCAAATTATCTGCTTTGTCTAATTGTTTTCCATTCCGCTGTTCCTAGGTTCTTTTGAGCGACAACTTCAAAAAATCCTATAAAAATTTGGCGTCATCCCATTTGAAAAAGGCAGTGCTAAATCTTTTACTTAAGCTTTCTGGTGGATGGAGACCAAAGAGAAAAAGTGTGGATTTGATGTGTCAAAGCTCATCACAGATTGTGAAGCAGTTTAAGGTTGAAGGGCAATACATAGTCTGCACTGTTGACATTCAGAGAGAATTGAAATACACTCAAATTTTGAGGGCTTGGGATTTATTACCTCTTGATGAGGTTGGAAAATTATTGAGACGCCTTGATAGCATATTTGCCATGTATACAGATAATTTTATCAATATGTGCAAGGAGAAGTGTCTAGATGGGTATGTCGGTTCATGCTTATCTTATAGTCAGGATAGTTTTTTTAATTACTAATTAAATCGTAGAAGATATAGCTCATCTAAATTGCTTTTGTTTTTTACCCAGGGACCTGGAAGTTCCAAAAGTTTGGCCAGTTTCTATTGATCTAGTAAGATTCAAGAATCTTAGTGAGAGACTGGCTGACAGCTCGAATGAACGTGTGGCAGGGGATGGGAGAAGTTACATTGAAAACTCAAGAGTGAGTGAAAGCTTACTCTTGATGAAGTTTTACTCTTTATCATCTGGCATTGTCAATCATCTGCTCTCTGACAATCGTGGTGAAGAAATTGATATCCCTTTTGAAGTTACGGATGAAGAAAAAGAGATAATCAAATCGAGAAGCAGTAGTTTCATACTTGGCCGATCAGGCACCGGTAAAACCACTGTGTTGACCATGAAATTGTTTCAAAAGGAGCAACAACATCATCTTTCCTTAGGAGTGAAAAAAGTTGAGTCAAATAATGAGATCAACAAGCACGAAGAAGATAGCGTTGCAAAAGCTGAGAAGACAATGATGAGCCAATCCGAAGATAAGGATAAGATGACCACTACCTTAAGGCAGCTTTTTGTCACTGTTAGCCCGAAGTTGTGCTACGCAGTCAAACAACAAGTTGCACATCTGAAATGGTAAGCTCGAACAGTTTAACTTGCTTTCTGCCAGATTCTATTATCTATTCGCGGTGCCTTGTTTATCTTTCACTGTGATGCAATAGTTACTTCCTTACTTTTATATAGTCAAAGAAATTAGCTTTGTTAATTTAGAATTCTAATAAAACAAAAAGTGGCCATACACATACTTATCGTACTAATATTGTAAACTGCCAACAAAACTGAAACATCCTTTTCTATATCTTATTTGTCTTTAGTTTCTAAACTAACAGAAAAGTGAAAACAGAATGTGATACTGATTGAAGCTTTAATAACAGGGATTTGCTTTTATCGTGCAATCTGCATGCATCATGTAATGTTATTGGTTGATTGCAAAATTACTTGGTCCCGGTCCTCTTAAGGTCCTCATCTGTCTTGTACAGTTGTAATGGGGAAGGACACGACTCTCATCAAAATGGATGAAACTTATCAAAACTAACACTATAAATCATTCTACCAACTACATTAGAGACTGCATGGTTGGTACTTAATAGGAGAACTAGACAATCTCACCGCTGAAGTGGATCTTCTACTGCTAGCAACTATAAATGGATTCTCGGTTTATAGCTTCTGTTGTAGGCCGAGTAGATCCATTTGGTGGTAGTTGATTGGTTTTATATTTTATTTGCACTGGGTTTGTTCTCACCTTCCCGGCATCATTTTGCTCAGATTTCACCGTTTTTGTTCTCGGCTTCATTTGCTTTCATGAGCCTGTGTGGCCCATATCCCCCACCCTATATGTACTTCATCCTACGAAAAAAACTACACCATCTTTCTAGTGCAAGTTAATAAGTAAAAAATTCAGAACATTAAGTACTCACATACCGTGGGAATATGGGATACACTAAATAGAATGAATTGCAATAGTATGGATTTCCCTTTTCTTACATCAATAATAAAAGTATTTATCTTGGATTTTGATGAGACTGTCTCACATCTCTTCCTGAGTTTTGTATAAAAGAGATTTTCTGTGCTGGTACATAATTTCAATATATTTTAACATCTTACATTGAAGTACAATCTTTAAGTAATATACCTTGCTTTAATCAAACTGTTTTTCTTATTAAGTGTATAGCATACAGCCTGTTTATATTGCCAAAGAAGTTTTGTTTATATCTCTAAATCTTTGTTTTGCATGCAGCTTTGCGCAAGGAGGAAAGTTCTCTGATGAAAACAGTCTGTTGGATATGTTGGATGATTTGGATGGGTTGTCTCATTTTAAAGACATCCCCGATTCTTTTGTTTCCATTCCTGAAAGAAAATATCCTCTTGTTATCACATTCCGAAAGTTTTTGATGATGCTTGATGGAACATTGCGCTCTTCATACTTTGACCGTTTTCAAGACAAGCACACTCCCTTTCTGGACGCAGAAACTTTATTAAGACGAAAAGAGGTTAACTTCGACCGCTTTTGTTGCTTGTATTGGCCTCATCTCAACTCCCAGTTCACTAAAAATCACGATGCTGCAAAGGTGTTTACTGAAATCATTTCACATATAAAAGGAGGATTACGGGTGGGTGAGGCCCATAATGTCAAACTTGGTCGCAGTGAATATGTTTCAATGTCTCTGAATAGGGTATCAACTTTGAATGAGAAGAGCAGAGAGGAAATCTATAATATCTTTCTCGATTATGAAAAAATGAAGATGGAGCGAAGGGAATTTGATTTAGCTGATTTGGTGAATGATCTTCATTTTCGGTTGAACGAGGAAATCTGGGAGGGTGACAAAATGGATTTTGTGTATATTGATGAAGTTCAAGACCTCACAATGAGACAGATTTCACTGTTCAAATATATTTGCCAAAATGTAGATGAGGGCTTTGTGTTTTCTGGGGATACTGCCCAAACCATTGCCAGGGGGATAGATTTTAGGTTTGAAGATGTGCGGACTTTGTTCTATGAGGAGTTCGTCTTGAAACTGAAAGGTGATTTACATGCCACACGAAAAGATAAAGGCCATATTGCCAGGGTGTCTTGTTTACTCCAGAACTTTCGCACACATGCTGGCGTTCTCAGGCTCGCACAGAGTGTTATTGATATTCTTGCTCACTACTTCCCTCTTTCAATTGATGCTTTGGCTCCAGAGACTAGTCTTATATATGGTGAGGCGCCAATATTGCTTAGACAAGGAAGCAATGAAAATGCCATCGTAACTATCTTTGGTAACAGTGGAGGTGTGAGTGGGAAGATGGTAGGATTTGGTGCAGAACAAGTGATATTAGTACGTGATGAGTTTGCTAAGCAAGAAGTTTCTGGTCTTGTTGGAAAACAAGCGCTCATTCTAACTATAGTTGAATGCAAAGGATTAGAGTTCCAGGCAAGCGTGATAAAATAAGATTGCTAATACATATCTTTTGTCTTATTATATTCTTTCAATTCTATCCCCCTTCTCTCAGTCTTTATCTTCCTTTTTGAATGAAGGTTCACTTTCATTGAAATTTTTTCTTTGATGAATTAACTTCTGTAAATAGACATTATTCATCTTTATCTTTATTACTCTTGAAAAAGTAAAATTGACTACTGCTGTCTGTTTTTGTAGGATGTGCTGCTTTACAACTTCTTTGGTACTTCACCTTTGAGAAACCAGTGGAGAGTAGTCTATGAATTTATGAAACTTCGAAAACTGCTTGACCAAGGTTTTTCACAGAGCTTCCCATGTTTTACCGAAGCACGTCACACAATTTTGTGTTCTGAACTGAAGCAGTTATATGTAGCTGTAACTCGGACAAGGCAACGATTATGGATCTGTGAACGTGTTGAGGAGTTTTCTAAACCGATGTTTGATTATTGGAAGAAAATGGGCCTTGTGGAAGTAAGGGATGTTGATGAATCTCTTGCAAAAGCTATGCGCTTGGCAAGCACTCCTGAGCAGTGGAAATCTCGGGGATTAAAAGTCAGTTGATGTCTCTCTCTCTCTTAGTTAATTTTAATCCCTGGTATTCTGTGTATCGGTATGTGAACACATTTTCTAATAGTAGTGGAATATAAAATGTTCTGCAGCTTCTTTGGGAGAAAAACTATGAAATGGCTATCATGTGTTTTGAGAGAGCAGGAGAAAGGAACCTGGAGAAGCAAGCTAAAGCTTCTAGTCTTAGGGAAACTGCTGACCGAGTGAGAGATTTAAACCCCAATGCATCTATTTCCAATCTTAGGGAAGCTGCTGAGATATTTGAGTCAATTGGAAAGTTCAAGTCTGCAGCCGAATGTTTTTGTGACTTGAAGGAATATGAACGTGCAGGTATTAATTTCTCTACCCTCGAATTGTGTTTCATATTTTCATTGGGAAAACTGTCAAATAGGTCCTCGAACTTTCATAAAAAGGTCAATTAAGTCTTTCTAAAGGAGGTTCTTTCTAGCTGTCGCGATTTGGGTCAGTTCCTGGTGGAATTTTTTGATGAATTGTTTTGAGTATCTTATTCACCAAGTTTAGTTTACTCATACCAAATTTCAGCTAAAAATTCAATCGGGACCACATTCAATATCATTCTTGAAGATAACTGCGCATTTTTGCGTTCTCGAATTAATTTGAATGCTCTCCCGATTAATTTTTTAGCTGAAATTTGGTATGAGTAAACTAGACATGATGAATAAGATGCTCAAAAAATTTCATCAAAAAATTCTACCGGACACCGCTCCAAATCGCGATGACCGGACACAGTCTCCTATAGAAGGACTTAATTGACTTTTTTATGAAAGTTCGAGGACCTATTTGACAGTTTTCCCTGTTTTCATTTGAATTCTAGTCGCTAGTTTATTTATTTTTTTCATATATGCTACAGGTGCAATTTATTTGAAGAAGTGTGGGGAACAAGAACAGAAAAAAGCTGCAGAGTGTTTTACATTGGCAGGATGTTATGAGACTGCTGCAGAGATATATGCAAAGCAGAACTGTTTCTCAGAGTGTTTATCTGTTTGCAGCAAGGGGCATCTTTATGATGTGGGATTTCAATATGTAGAGCACTGGAAACAACATGCTTTCCATTACAATGATAAAGATGTGCACAGGAGAGAAATTGAAAGAATTGAACAGGAATTTCTTGAAAGGTGTGCATCTGATTACTCTGAGTGCAATGATAGGAAATCAATGATGAAGTTCGTTAAAGCTTTTAAGTCAATGGATGATATGCGACATTTTTTGAAGAATCTGAATTGTCTGGACGAGTTGCTACTATTAGAAGAAGAATCTGGAAACTTTGTTGAAGCTGCAGAGCTTGCTAAGCTGAAAGGGGATGTTCTACAGGAGGCCGATCTTCTCGGTAAAGCTGGGAATTTCAGCAAAGCATCCTCACGTGTCCTTTGGTATGTCTTGGTCAACTCTTTGTGGGTTCGTGGATGCAAGCCATGGCCCATTAAGTCTTTTGAGTCTAAGAATGACCTCTTGAAGAAGGCCATTTCATTTGCAAGGGATGGATCTGATATTTTTTATGAGTCTGTATGTACAGAGGCAAAAGTGTTTGAGCACGAGGAAAGTAACTTGTGTGAGTTGAGGCGTGCTCTAAGTGCTTCTCAGAAGTGTGGGAGTCTTAGAGGTGAAATTTTATGTCTAAGGAAAATTATGGATGCTCACACTCAAGTTAGAGCCTCTACTTATTCATGGGAAGATGAGTCTCCTGTAGACCTGAAGTTCGGGGATGATACAATGTTCTGTAACCAGCTCTCTCTTAAGTCCCTCTGTCATTTCTGGAATCTCTGGAAAAAGAATGTATTCAACATTCTTGAATCTATTACCGTTCTTGAGTCGACTCAAGATTTTGGTAGATATAAAGGCTTTGGTGAGTTCTGCTTGAACTATTTTGGTGTGAGACGGCTATTCTCTACTGATATGAAAACCAGTTATGTCATGATAATTCCTGATGCTGAATGGGCTACAAAGCTTGATAGGAGTTTGATGAGGCAAAACCAAATAGTGCCCTCAATTGATGAAGGGCAGTTCATAGATGCTGCACGGAATCACTGGAAGATTGAACTGTACACTGTAGGAGTTAGGGTTCTCGAAATGCTTGAATCCCTTTATATTGTTTCCATGGGCTCATTTTCAGAGTTTAGACAAAGCATGTGCCTCATCAGTATATATCAGATCTCAAAATTTATTCTCGAGTCCAAGGAGTTGAACTGCAAGAATTACGAGGGGAATATAATGAAGTTCTTCCAGTTCTCAATGAGTTACTTCGAGCATGTTTTTCCTATTCATTTTCAGAAGCCTATGGAGGAAAACATGATTGCTTTGAGAGGAACAGAGGTTTCCCGAAGCTTACTGGAAGAGTTTATTATTGACGATATCGGGAGAAAGGGTGAACTTACACTTGGGCAGATTGGACGGTTGATGATAATATGGTTTGGGTCTGCCAAACCTGCAGATGAACTCTGCAAGAAAATATTGGAAAGAATTAAGAAAGGTTCTTCGTGGATCCATTTCATTGAGATTCTGAGAGGTCCTGAAGAGCCCTTAGTTTACAGTATCAATGGCCCTAAAAAACCAGAGGGTGAAATTCATAGGTTCCATGATGCTTTGGAAGAAACATATAGTGCCCACTGGTGTAATATGCGTCACACGATACAGCCTCACTGCTTCTTATATCTTGTGGAGCGTTTCTTGATGACATTTCAATTAAATGGCTTCTTTTACAGCACTAAATCTTCTTTTCTGGAGTGGCTGAGGGTTCAGGAACCAGGCCGCAGTCTGGTGGCCAGCTTTCCACCACAATCACTATCTAGTGAAATGTTCTACAAGTCCATCCTTTTTATGGTGGAAGAGCTCCTCGTCAAGAACATTGAGACAGGCCTTTGGATTGAAAGATCCGGAATAAAATCCAATGGCTGTGAATATAATAGGTTACTGGTTTTGAGGTTGGTGCTCATTCTCTGCTCGCTGTGCATGAACTCTGCCACTATGGAACCGATAAATGTTCTCCATCGTGTACTACAGACCCCTTTTATTACATCTGATCTACCAAGAGATTTCACTCGGGTATTCAGGCAGGCTACAGTTGGTAAAGTAAAAATAGCTGAAGCTCTAAAAGCTATAGGGAATCCTATTTGTCTTGTATGCTGGAATGGACAAACCCCAAGCTTTGTGTGTCGTAACACTATAACTATACGACTGGGCGGATCTTATAATTCTAAAGAGGACATCATCAGAATGTTGTTCCCACGGAAAAATTTTGTTTCTTATGGGCAAGAAGAAGAAGTCAATGTGAAGAAGAACTCATGTTGTCTGCTACCCTTGAGTGTATACCATGGGATGAAGAGTTCTATGGTTGAAAAATCTTCATCAGACAACAAAGCGTCAACTCAAAGACAGGACCTGAATGGTGAAGAAAATCAAAGAACCTTGCAAATGAAATGGTCTGTTTTGGATGAAGATTCTGCTTCTCTGGAGTTCAAGGTAATGCCAAAACTATCTCACGGGATCCATTTCCATCACTAATCTTTGTTGTACCCATTCACTATTTGCAATTAATCTCTTCTGTGTCTTTTGTTTTGAAGGAGGAGTTGGATGAATGTATAAATTTCATGACTGCAGTGGCTAATTATTTGTCTGAAAAGAAGGCAACTCCCTCTGGCGAAGAATCAAATATATACGATGATGTAAAAAGCTTGCTTACAGAACTCCAGCAACTGTCAGAAACGTTGGATAAAATGTGAGTTATTAGCTTCTGCATACCCGGTTATTTGAATATGAAACATCTTTTGCTTAATATGTAGCTTTTGCAAATTTAGGATCTCGTTTAACTTTACTAAACTTGTCCTTGTTGTACACGTTGTGGTGGTTTTAGTCCATCTCAACCCTGTCAACAAGGGGAATTAAAATGGTATACTTGAGGGGACTAATTAAGATCACCATCAACAAGACATGGTTTCTTCTTGAAGTTAACATCCGGATAAAATTTCCAAAGCTGCATTATTTAAAGACTAAAAAAGCAATCTATCCTCTTTTGTGTTATATTCATTAATCATTATGACATGTAGTTTATAGTAGTATTATGAAATTTGAGTTGACATAAAAATCAACTGGGAAGCTGCACAAAAAGATTTGCAGCTTAATGTACAATGATGGATATATTTACATATATGGTAATAAAACCAAACAAAATTAACAGTGGCATGGATGAAGAGGAAAAGCAAGAAAGCATTGCAGAAGTGAAGAATAGGTTATTATTGAGAAAGCCTGGAGTGGAAGTTTTCTTGAACAGTGTCATTGTGGTGAAGGACAGTAGCGAGGTCATGATTTTGGATTCAGTGGGTGACAAATCGCCAGTGGATGAAAATGCAACTGAAGAAGTAGAAGAAGATGAGGAGGAGGATGAGCATAACAATATGACAGGGTTGGATAACTGTAAGAAGAATCAAGGTATGCAGCAGCAAGGGAAGTCAAAGAACAAAGCCAGGAAACGAAAGGGAAAAGGAGGTCGGGGAAGGAAGTGATTGTGTGTGTATATGTATATTTTGTGTTGTTCAACGAAGTCTATAGTTTGTTATGATCTTCGCAAGGCAGTTATTCAACAGGAATCTGTCAATCCCATATGTTGTCAAGAAATATCATGCGAATATGAATGTTTTTGAAAGTTCTCTGTTTCCTCACCCTTCTTTGAGTTCTTTCCCCCCAATTTCTTGTACGAAGTAATTAATTCCCTCCGCCCAAGTCCCCAGAGTCCCGGGAATTCAAAATTGTATTTGTGGTGGATTAGTGAGTCTACCATCGATTCAATAATTAATCCAAATAATAGTAATATTCATTTCATTCCAGACAACCTAAAGGAGTCTGAACTATCAAATATGAAACATCTTCTACGGAGTATATTCTAAAAAGAAACCCACTTTTACTCTCACATGTTTCACTTATAATAATATATATATTGTTTTAGCATATGTATTGGTGTCATTGTTGTTACAGTTTGTTTCGTGCAACTACCCTATTAATCTACTATTTTTTTGTAGTGCATTTATCTTAAATTTCTTTATGTGTTGCATTTTAAGTGTTGTAGTTTTTTGTCATGAAGTTTGTTTATCACTTTGATGTGTTTGTGGTGTTGTATTTTATCCGCTGCAATTTTTTGGGATGTCCCGGACCGTCGCGTTCTGTCCCGGTACCGATTTAAAAGAGACAATAGCGGGACAATGTTTTATCCCGTCCTGTTAGCCTAAATCAAGTTTGGTACCGGGATAGTCTAATTCGCATCCCGTCCCGTGCCACTCTTACCCCCAACTATTATTTGGCTAATACGGAGTACAATACAACAGTACAAAAGAGATGGTCTAAATTCTATTGGAATTTGAAAGTGTAATTTGTCCGCATTTCTAAAATGATGAACATTACAAACCTAGTTAGTTAAATATGGTACGCGAAATAAAAAAGGTTAAAAAATCACTGAGACTTTATCAATTCAATATCAATCATATAAACTCACTTTTCTTAATAATCACACCACCTCTGTATGTATCAATGTTAGTGGGACGGACGTAGTGCAAAATGACATATAGTAAAAAGAAATAAAATTGTACACATTAATATAACAAATCCCATTACTACATCAAAGAATGAATAATAACGATAGAAAGTTGTACTCATCATTTCATCAAAATAATGTCCAAAAATAACGTAAATAACATCATCTTCATCAAATAACAATCAATTTAAACTCACAATTTCATCAAAATAACAAATGAAGTACGAGAAAGTTGTGCGGTTGCTATGTTTATTATTGTTTATGTGTAGAAATTTATATACTAGAAAACATCAGGTTTTAAAAATCTTATTTTTGACTTTTTGAGATGTCTGTTTGGAAAAACGTCAAAAATCTAGTACCCGAGTAGTATTTTATATTTTAGTCTTTTAGGAAGCTAGCTTTAGTGGCCATGCATTTAATTTTAGTATGTATAATTGTACTATAACAATACAAAAACACAAGGTCACTGGAGGTAATTTTCCTTTTTGCATTTGAACTATTATTGATCTATGCATTTAATGCATTAATTCAATCGATCAATTCATGTTTATATTATTTTTGTAAAATACGGGAAAAGTACGTTTTATTCCCTTATTTTTGTATAGTATGGGGAGCAGAGTTTTTTTTTTTCATTTTAAAACAGACTGACCTTACTTTAAACATGTTTTTATTCAAAAAACAGTGCATGTTTAAAACGTGTTTAAAACGCATACATGCTAACTAGGGTTACAAATCGATCCTCCATCTTTACATTAGTTAGCCTTCAACTTGAGTTAAAAAGCGGAAAAAGTAGCCAGACTTATGAGGCGACCAAGGAGTAAGGTACTTCTAAATATCGTAAAGTGTTATGCGACAACATCACAACGGGAGAATAAGGAAAAGTTTTAAGGAAACGGATATGACTCTCTTATGAAGTCATATGGTCTATTGTGGCATCATCACCATCACACAATTATTTAGTGGAGGATCCCATTAAATAATTATGTGGTGGTGATGATGCCACACTAGACCATGTGACTCCATAAGAGAGTCATATGTGTTTACTTAAAATATTTGGGAGAATTAGGACATTGAGTGCATTAAACTTTTAGGTATGATATAATTATTTCGCCTTTTGCCTATGCCAGTGACTGCTGCTCTAAAAATTGCTCTAGGTGTCTGGCTAGTCCCCCGCCTAGGTGATAGACGGTGGGGGAGACACTTCGATTTTAGTTTCGAAGTCCTGAATAATTGGTTTGGTGCCCAAATTGCCCGCCTAGGGCGCCTTAGAGGGCATTTAGATTTGTCGAACATTTTTTCTTTTTTTATTTTAATTTTTCTAAATTGACTTGTAATCCTGACTAGGGAGTATTATTCATACACATTTTACTATTCACTATTTTCCTCCTATCTTGGCTCAATCTCTCCTACATTACATGTTTGATACCTATACTATCCATCAATTTTATTGAGAGGTTTCTTGGATATGGCAGGCTATTATTGCAAGTTCATACATGATTTTTGATGAAATAGTTCCACCTCTGATGCAGTCTGCTCCGTGAAACTGGTTTTGTGTGGAACAATGAAGTGCATTCAGGACTCTCAAGATTTCCCTTTGCACAACCCAATTTAGGTGAAATACTCATTGTGGAATGCGATGCTTCCAGTTTTGAGTTTGGGGCTTTGACACAACAAGCCGATCATTCAATTGTCTATACCATTAATGAATAGTCGACCCAACACATCAAACTAGCAGCCTAAGGAAGAGAGCTAATTGGATTGGTCAAGAAAGTTACACATTGGTGCCCATATTTACAGTGGGGGTCCTCAGCTCGACAATCTAATTGAGCCTTAAACATGTGTTAGAACATTTGTCCAACTCTTCACAAGAACATTGGTGAAGTAAACTGATGGGGTACTATAATTGGGTAAGGTACGAGCCTGAGAGATTGAACAAGGTGGCAAATGCTCTTTCAAGATGTGACAAGTATATTGGCAAGCTTCAATCCATCTATACATTTGAGAGGAAGTCACCACTACCCTTGTATGACACACTGAAGCATAGGATCGAAGCAAGAGATTTGAGTATTGGCTAGAGATTGTGGAATTGCCTGTTGTTTCGTGTGTACCGAAGGCCTTCCTCATCCCATCTTGAGCCACAATTCCTACCATTTTGTCCACCTTTCATGACATGCCCCACAAGGAACTAGGGGTGGGCGTGGTTGGTTAACCGTGTTTTGGTTAACCAACTTTCCGGTTAACCGAGAAACCTATTACTTCGGTTAACCGAGTATCGGTTAATCAAAGCTTCGGTTAACCGAGTATCGGTTAACCAAAACTTCGGTTAACCACAAACCGGTTAACCAAAAACCATCAAACCATTGATTAAATATATACACACACCATGTTCTTTCTATATTAATTAAGCCCAAACAAGAGAAAAATAAATTTTGAGAGTGGAATACAGGAAAAGATAAAATACACTTGATAAGAATAAACGTGTTCAATTGCTTCAAAAAAAAATACACATGTTCAAGTCTCACGATTGCAGAATGGGCTAATTAATTATAACTCACAAAAGCTTTGACTAAGTATTAATAATATGAAATTAAAAATTCTATAGTGACAAACAGAATTTGGTTTCTTCACATGTTTATTAGAATTGATGTATCTAGATGTGTTGGATACATATTTATCTTTCCAAGTTCTCTGAGAACGTGAAGTTCATGACCAGACATGAACATACCGGTTATTGGTTAACCGATAATAACATATTTCTAAAACCGTAACCGTACCGCGAACCGTTTATTCTCACGGTTGGTTAACCGTACCGTGGATTTAAAAAATTGCGGTTCGGTTAACCGGGAAAAACGGCGGTTTTCCGGTTTTTAGGCGCGGTTATACGGTTACGGTTTTTTATGCCCACCCCTACAAGGAACCAAGAAAACACTAACAAATTAGGAGGGACTTTTATTGGAAAAGCATGAAGTGGAACATTACTCATTTCCTTAAGAAATGCCAAGTTTGTGACTTGTGAGTATCACAAGTGGTTAAGCCTCCAATCCGTCAAGCTACTTCAACCACTAACTACTCCATGCAATTTATGGTTGGATGTGTCCATGGGAAATATGTTATCATGATAGTGGACTAGTGGTAGATACGTTCTCTAAGTCAGCCCATTTCTCTCGATCACTCCTTTATTGTCATTTATGTGGTTACATTGATTTTGCTGAAGTCTTTAGGTTACATGGTTTGCCGAAGTCCATCATGGTTTGGCGAAGGACTTCTCCTATTTGAGTGGCAGTGTGGCACCAAACTTTTATTCTCCTCAGTCTACCGCCCCAAGTCCAACAGCCAAACTAAGAAGCTGTTCTCTTCGTCTTAATCTTATTACTTATTCCTTATTCTTATTTTATTCAGATCAGATCAGATCAGATCAGAAAGATTCAGATCAGATCAGATCAGAAAAATTCAGATCAGATCAGATCAGAAGCATTCAGATCAGATCAGAAGCATTCAGATCAGATCAGAAGCATTCAGATCAGATCAGATTAGTTCAGAAATTATTATTACTGTTATTATTACTATTATATAATATTATATATTACTATTATGTTTTACGGAGTAATTTTTAGTATTGATTTTTTAATAAATGCTAAAATTGAGTACTCTGTACCAATCCATCTAATCTAAATATATAATACTGTCACCATTTGATCGAGAAGAATGAATTGAAGTACAAGCATTTATTCAATATCAACTTGCGATTATGGTATCAACTTTCGCACTGCACAACTTTATCCGTCTTTACGAGTTGGATATTCCAATTTCAAGTGCAATCAAATATTTTTATTATTATTAAAAAGGTTATTAATATCACTACTTATTATTATTATTATTATTATTATTATTATTATTATTATTATTATTATTACTACTACTACTACTACTACTACTACTATTATTGTTATTATTATAATTATTATTATTGTTACGGAGTATTATTTTTATTATACTTATTAAATAACAATAATAGTTATTATTACTATTATAATTATTATTGATGTTATTATTATTATTGTTATTGTTATTGTTATTATTCTTATTATTATATACCAATTTAGAAAGTTAAGATCAGATCAGAAGGATTCAGATCAGATCAGAAACATTCAGATCAGATCAGAAACATTCAGATCAGATCAGAAACATTCAGATCAGACCAGACAGATTCAGATCAGAAACATTCAGATCAGATCAGACAGATTCAGATCAGATCAGAAAGATTCAGATCAGATCATATCAGATCAGAAAAATTCAGATCAGATCAGATCAGAACTTAAAAAATTCAGATCAAAAACATTCAGATCAGGTGAAGAGAACAGCTTCTAAGGTGGTAAATCGCACACCTAAGAGGCTAAGATGTTATTACATTATTTGCCTACTTATTTCCCCAAACTATAAGTTCAATAGCTTCCTTTGGCAGAATATAGTTGCAACGCTTCCTTCCACTCTTCCTTAGGTGACACTGTGACACCCCTTATGTGTGGTTGATGGGCGAGATCCTAGCTCTACGGTTGCTTTCATATACTGTTGGCATAACAATGGATGTTATGGACAAGACATTGATCATTAGAGATGAAATTTTGGCATCAACTATGCCAAGGCTTGCTTAGGCATTAAATTTAATGAAGCTCACTTAAGACAAATGTATGTGGTTCCCTAAATGGATGTAAATACTGTAATTTTAATACCTGATAATATAAAAACATAATACTCCTAAGTGTATAAGTGTATAATCCCGAGCTTAGTGGTTGGGCCTACCACCATACTGAAAAACTCATAACTTGTTCGGTTGTTCTTTGTCTCTTCTCAAGCCACACCATAGGCCAATTACCACAATACGACCTTGCTAACTCCAAAACTGGCCCTCCAAGGACATCTCAACAAGGGAATTAAAAGCAGCCACTTGGAAACCTTGAGATCACTTTCATGAAACTCATCCGAAAATCAAGCTTGCGGACAAGCTTGGCATTGAGCAAGGAGTGATCTTATGGACACATTTTGGGACATCGGATATAAAATGAAAACAGTGTGCACTACGGGTCACAAGAAAAGAAAGACTTGTAGATTATTATTAAATTCTTTAATTGTTGCAATTGTTAAGATGTCAGTTTCATTTGCGTAGAATAAGGAAATTTATTGTAAAAAACTCTATTTACTGATACAACTCTGGAAGAATACAATCAGGCAATTATTCATCCTAAACTATTGAGCATTAGTCTAGGGAAAACCTCCTCTTGTTCCCTAGGACTCGTCAAGGAAGATCCCTCCCCACGCATAGCATAGACCTTTGGCGAGAGAACTGCTGCTTCCTCCTCCATCCTTCCCACGCATAGCATAGACCTTAGACGAGGGCCTGCACACGCACGCTTAACAGGACCACACTTCAATTAAGGGAATTTAGATGTGGACCTCCAAGTAACCATACATTTTGCATCTGTAGTTAGCTGCCAAATGCACAAGATTAAAATCTTATTAATATTGTAAAATTCACAAGTCCAAACTCCGGATCACCCAAGGACAACTTATAAGAGTCCGAATCGCTCTAGGGGCACATCACATCAAGGAAGATTCTCAGAGCAATCAGTATTATATATAAACAAGAGAACAAGGAGAGGGCGGGGGTCTAACATGTAATTTAACGCATATTGCCCTCCTGCAGAACATCAATCATGTCATAAATCCGTTTGTTTTCTTTTGCTTTGACCTGCAATCATAGTTAAATAAGTTAAATACCTTTAGTCACAATGAATGTAGACCCGTATAGCAGCATTGGCGGCTGGCAGAATAATAATAATAATAGCAATGATAATGATAATAAGTAAAAATAATCATAACAATAATAATTTTTAGTAACAAAAAATTCAGCTGCATATTTAATGGAATATAATGGCTCAACTTCCCTGCACTACACTAGTTCATGTATAATTCTGCGAAAGACTACAAGGACATTCTCATGAGGCAGTTATTTTGGGGGTTATAATTTTTTGAGTGGAGTGGTATAGCAACAAATACTTCATTATTTCCAAAGGAGCCGAAGACTCCACTATTTTTGGCTTGGGAATATGATGGAATAAAGAAAAATGGCTCACTAAACTGTCTGCGCTTCATTGTTATGAAGCAGCAGTCAGTCCATGCAATTTTCGACGCGATTTTCATCATGGGTCACCCGAAAACAGTCTCTTTGTGCTTTAGTACAGGGGTAAGGTTGTGTACATGAGACCTCCCTTACCCCTCATAGGTAGGGAGCCTTTGCGGCACTGGGTAATGTTGTTGTTATAGTGGTATAACAACACATACGAGATTTAAAGTGAAATGAAGCATTGGGGAAGAAACAGTGCACGAAACCTCAGGTTAACAAATTCAAACTAAGATGGACAAACCTTCTTCGCAATGAAGAGAACAGCATCAACAGTACCCTCTGCATATATTGATCTTCCACAAACATTATGCTGGAATTCAAATGAGACCCTAGAGAAGAAACTGATGAAGTTAGGAATCAAAGAACAGGAGAAAATTTGGTTTTGAATTGGATGATATTTACTCACAAAACAAACAAAAATTATTTAGAGGATGAAGTTTGGAGATGATGCATATTACGTTTCATCTGGTGAGGTTAGATGATACATGTGGAAAGCATGACCAGACAAGTATTCCTTGGGGACGCCAACCATTTCAGTTTGTAGCTTTGGGTCACGTATTTGTTGGACCTATTTATAAGTGTTCCAGAAATATAACAAAGCAATATGTAAGCTAGCTGTAAGTTGACAAATAAGTAAAGCCAAATGATAAGGCAGATTAGCAAATAAGGTCCAAATGAGTGGTTTTCATTGAATATGTCCCTATTCCTCATCATATGTATACATCAAGTCCCTATTAACAAAAGCTATCTAAGTTAATCGCCTCTCACAGAAAATCTTACCCAAGTTGAAGTACACAATTTTGAGAGGTTTAGGCTTTAAAATCATATCTATTTATGACTTGAACATTTGAGACTTTCAGTTTATATTAGTGTAGAGAAGAAGAAGAAAACGGGGTTGGCCTTAAGCAACTCAATGGTGCACAAGAAAGTCCATAAGTTCTTTGAGCTAACCTGATCTAAGTCAAAGGAGACCCCTAATCTCTCAAAGCATGAGATGACAGCCTTGGCAGTTCCAGATACATCCAACTTGCTAGCTTGATGAGACTCCATCACCTTATTCAGTTCATGGAAAGGGAATAGTAAAAACTCTAGATGGCAAAAAATTACAAATACAGTAATGTATTAACACAGGCTTGAGAACAATATTAAGATATGAAAGTTGGCAGTACGTGCATATTCATGATATTTTAAAAGCATAACAGTTTATCAACCCCGAGCAAATATATTAGTTACAATGAAGAGGGTGGTGGGAATATGGGACTATGGGAGTTTGAACTCCAAGTCTCCAACCAATGCAGCTGCTCTTATTCAGTGTTCTCGGTCATGCCTCCTTGGCACGCCTTACGCCTTTTAGAACATTACTCTTATTACTAAGGATTCACAAACAAGCAATAATAAATACTACGTATATACCTGTAGTTTATACCCTGAGAAAGCACCAGGAAATTTCTCCGCCATAATTTCCATAGCAGCAAGAAATGCAACAACCTGGAAAGAATACCAAATATGATTATTTAAACCGAAATGAATAGACAAAAGAATATCATATAGAGAACTATTAAAAGAAAATATGTCCTTGGTACCTGCTTTCCCATTTGTGGGGAGATCACAGCATAGTTATTAGAGTCTGTCACTGTCTTATACAACCTCTCCCTGTCTCCACCAGTAGTTCCCATCACAAAAGGAACTCCAACATTGCAATATAACTCAGCATTATCTGTGTGTGTGGAAGTGAAGCAACCAAGAAACATCAAGAGATAATGACTACTTTCTGGTAACAGAACAAATTAAGAGAAATAAAAAGGGATGCAAGGAAACAGAAAAATAAAAAAGGAAATTCAAACAAAACTTAATGTTTAAGATATGCATGTCATATGAATTACAAAACCCAGTATGAAGCATACACGTCACATCCCTTCCCTTCAGTTATTCCTGTACATAAATTACATAATTTAGTTTTCAACATACCATTTACAGCTGCAGGTACTGTGTAATCCACCACAATTAAATCAGGATGCTCCTCAAAGATTGAGGCTAGAGTGTTTTCTCTGTCAGTAGGGGCATGCACTGTAATTTTTTTCCCAGCTACATCTAATATCTTCCCCGAATCTTCAGTGCTACCAAAAGCCACCGGAACAGGCAGAAGTCCTGCAGAAATCGCTGCTTCAAGAACCGCTCTTCCCATTTTCCCAGTACAACCGTTGACCTGATAATGATAGTAACTAAATGAAATTATATGATGAATCTTAAATTTTACCACCTATTACCTGAGAAAGAAACTAAAATGGAAAACATTCTCCATCCGGTAAAAAAGTACAGGTCCTTCCTTAAAACCTCATTTGGGGTGCAAAAAATTCCGATAAAGGATTCATGTTTCAACTAACGCGCTAGCTATTTTTTCATGTGTTCTTTTATTAAAATAGGAGTCCTAAACAATTTAAATATGATAAGCTTAGTTAAATAAAAGAGACTGAAAATAGTGACTTATTTCTGTTGCACCTTATCAAGCTAAAAAGTTATAACTTGATCAAACATGTGTGCATGACTCTTATTTTGGGACAGATGAGTGACATTTAGCAGGCAGTAAAAATTAGTGGAAGTCCAAATTACAAGTAAAACCTTAATAAAAATACAGAGAATTGTAGATCTCAGCCGCTGTCAAGAGGAAAATGAAAATTGGGGTCTACTAAATCCATTTACCCAGCAGGTGATATAGTGCCACATAGAATCCTCATCAATAAGTCATAATACCCTCCCACCAAAAAGCTCCACTCTCATTCTGAATTTTGGTTTACATTATGCTCCCGAGAACAACATATGTTAATCATACAGCTATTTGAAGGGCTGTATGTAATGCAATGCATTAATGAGGTAGAAGTGTAAAACTAATAAAAGAAAAGCATAACAGGCATTATAAAGAAATTACAAACATGAGCGTTAACGAAGATATTGTGCAATTCAAGTAAAATATGGTAACCATTATTGGAAGCGCATTTCTCTGTGACTTAGGTGGCGGCATTTGCTCGATGATCTTTCCCGGCACACCGGAAGAGGATGAACACATTTTAAGCACAGACCTTCGTCTTCTGGTAAAGCTATTACCAGCTCTTTTGCTTGTGCTGGTAAAATTGTAGTTACAGATTCCTACTTGGCCATTCACGGGAAATTTAACCACCAAAGCCATGGATATCTACTAACAAAGGAAGCACAACTTGATCAAGGGAAGACTAATTAATCAACTACAACAACAATGATAGCTATTTTATGGTTCTCATAAACAAAATAAAAACTTTATGAAATTTATCCCCATCCAAAGATTGCTGACAATGTTTGCTTTTTTACACCAGCAAACCAGCCATAAAATTTTCATATGCCTAAGCAATAATTTTAAAAAATGACAAAAATGCAAAATTCTAATGTAATAGATAATAATGATAAATAAAACATAGACATTGAGGTGTAATAGATGCCCCTAACACAATAAAGCATAGATTAAAGAAAACATAAATATACTACTGAATCAGTATTTCACACTGTCTATTCCAAATAAATGTGCTTCTTAGTCAGCCCCAAAATAATGGTCTTTTCTCCTTCTAATTAAATTTATGCTTGGAGGGATAAAAAATGGGGATAACTAAACACCTTTCCTTCCATTTTTTAATAAAAAGGTCATGTGCTCCAAAAACCCAGAATCAAGTATATTCGTGAGTAAAAATGGTATATTCATAATTTCATATAATATATCATGACACTTTATTTAAATAGGCAGCGAGCATAAATGCAATATTGAAAACGTTAAAGGAAAGAGAGATCGAAATTCGGCAAATTGGGCCTAATAAAGAATATCAAATTTTTTTAAAACCTTTATGATAAAGAAAATACTTAAATTTATTAAATCAAACATAGTAGAATCACAGTTTCAAAATAAAAAAATAAAAAATAACTTAAATACATTTCCCGCTTCATAATCACGCTTTTCTAACACATTATGCTCAACGCTTAATATTGCTAATCCATTCCCCATTTTTATTAGACCTTGAAATTAATTAAATTTATAAATTTAATTATAATTGAAAAATTTTACCTAATAGAATCAAAAAATTATAACACCAACACTCAGTAGATAACAGTCAATAATTAAGAGTATGAACTAATGATTTATGAACACTCAACAGCCAACAAATCAACTAATTATTTATCAACTATTCATTTATAAACATTAAATAACTGTGAATCATCAATCATGAAAGAAATCAATTAATAAAAGTATAAACTAATCAAGTAAATTAAGATATAAGGAAGGATGACGGACTCACCTGCATCTGAAGGCCGATTGCTGAGGCGGTGAGGCAGACAGGCAGTCCTGAACTTCCGGAGACAAGGCGTGAACAGGGGCGAGCCTGGGCGTGAAGCCTGATTGCCTGAAGCCCTGAAGGTGAGCACGACGCACCACTGAACGTCTGCACCAGAAAGCTGACTGGCTGAGCAAGTGTGCGACTTGGCTCTCGGTCCTCCTTGGCGCACCACTTTTTTTCACTTTAGTGGACAGATGTGTCCTCTTCCAAATTTGAACTAAGAGCCCGTTTGACAACATGAAAATCGGCTGTTATGGCTGATTCTGCTGAAATTTATGAATTTCTGGTTTAAGTGGCTGCATTGGCTAATTTTGTTGATACAAGAAAAAAATATTTTTAAAATATATTTTATTAATAAAATAAAGAAAAAATTATATGTAAAAATAGCTAAAATGGTCATCTACAGTAACTTCAGCCAATACAGCCAGAAAAGTAACTTTAACCTTACTTTTTCGGCTTATTACACAATTCAACGCGCGAAAGCAAAATTTACGTGTTTGATAAAAAAGTTGATTGATAAGCCTGATAATACGAATATGAGGGTTGCCAAACGGCCTCTAAGTATTGATTTTGAAATTATCCATAACATCCGCGAATCTTACTGTGCGCACCTTTCTTTTCAAATGTGAATCTTACTAAGGGCACCTAAATAAAATTAACAAGACAACACTATTTTTCATCTTATCAGGCTTATTAGTCAACTTTTTCATCTAACACGTAATTTTTGTTTTCGTGCGCTAAATCGTGTAATAAGTAGAAAAAGTATGGTTAGTTATACTTTTCTGGCTGTATTAGCTGAAATTAATGTGTACATGACTATTTTGGTTATTTTTACATATAATTTTTTCTTTATTTTATTAATAAAATATATTTTAAATATTTTTTTTTTCTTAAAATAGCAGAATCAGCCAATGAAGCGACTTCAACCAGAACTTCATAAATTTCAGCAAAATCAGCCAAATCAGCCGATTTTTGTGCTACCAAACGGGCTTTAAATCCTAAGATTTTAATTTAAAAAACAAAGCAGCCGTTAGGTTTCCTTAATTTGTACCCTTAGTACTACGGATCTAACTTAATTCCTGAAAATTAATTTGGATGGCTTTCATTCGTCCGTATGATTAAATTACCAAAATAGGTTTTGGTGAGTTTTGTCTGATGCTCACCAAAAGCGCATCAATGTTCATTTAGCAGAAGACGCAAATTTCATTTAAATTACAAAAATGAGCACACTAAAGATTTAAAATGAGCATACATCTGGACATATATGTTCACATTTTTATTTTTTCAATGCTCAATTCTTAAATGTGATCCGGACATCCGGACATATATGTTCACATTTTTATTTTTTCAATGCTCATTTCTTAAGTGATGTATACTCATTTGGTACTGATGTGAGCTTATTTTAAAAATGTTATATCAATGCATATTTATAAAGTATCATATTACATTAGACTCACATATTGAAGTTAATAAGGGTGGATTATAGATTTAATTTAATAAGTTTTTGAAAGATAAACAATAACAAAAAGAAATAGAATTAGAAGATATGAAGCAAAGATCGTGATACTCATTTTTTGTAATTTAATCAAAAAATCACGACTTTTACTAAATGAGCAATAAGGTACTTTTAGTGAGCATCTGCCATAATTTATTGAGTATTACAAACGTGAGTTTCTGTTATACTAAAATTCCAAAGCTCGTTTGAATTTCCTAATGTGTTCAAATGTTCATTTATTCACATCTGTAATTAACACAATATTTAATAAACTAATAAGTATTCATCTTAAATTAATAGTAGAGAAATAAAACATTAATAACTAAAATATTTTATAATAGATAAATAAACCACCGAATTCGAAGCTCCAAAACCGCGGTGGCTGAAGCTTTGCTCTCACAAGTTAGGTGGCAAATACGCTTCTCTCTGCTAGCTGACATCAATCGATCAAGCTTACCAAAAACCTGGACATAAATACTTAATTAAGATAAATTGTTCTAGATCAAACATAAGCAAATGTTCTGCTAGCTGGCCGGCGAGCTATAACATGGTGAAACGCCACCGCCTTTAGCGTGGGTAGTTCCACCGCAACACCAAAGCATGGCTTAGCACCTGGAGAAGATTGTGAGGAGCTGGTGGAGAAACAAAATCGGAACAATAAACAAAACAAGGAAGTAAATAAGAAGAAAAAACTAAAAGAAATCTCACACAAATTCGGAAATACAAAAAATGAAGAAAAGTAAAATCAGAACACAAATGGAGTACGGATAGATAAAAAAACAAGGATGACCCAGGAGTGGAGCATGGCATGCGGCGGAAAAAGGAAACACTATTTATGCCACTAATTACAAAAAACCCGGGTGTACATGTACACCCGGGCTAGGTGTAGGATATAGGAACTGCTCAAAAACCGATTACAAATGTTTAAAGCATTATAATGTTTTTATAATCTTCTTATACAATGGGGATGAATATGAAGATTGTCTAGAAAATTGTATTCTTAACTTCATATGCCTATTATTTGTATTTGAGTTTTTATTTTTTATTAGTTTCATTAAGTGTATCACATACATTGTTCAGTAAAATTTGTGTGATCATGTATACTTTTTCATTCATCTTTGTATTGGATTTTGTCTTTATTCTATATCTAAGTATAATTGATACTTTTTAGGATTTTTAAATTTGACTATTTTCGATTCCGGATCACATTTTGATAGTAGTATAACACACATAGAACATACATCTAATATACCAGACCAGTTCAGACTGGATCAAAATTAAACAAATCAAATCGGATAATACCATATTTGACTAGACCTAAAATTTCAATCCAATTAAAAACATCTTTATTGATTTTATAATTATAAATTAATGTCTCATAATAAATGAATTCCTCTATAATTTTAGAATGTTAGTTTAATACTACCTTCTTTTTTAAATAAGTGCAATGAATTTTACATTATTCACATGTTCTATTTCGACTACGTTTTATTCAATAATATATTAATGCTTTTCAAAAAATTGTTAAATTTTGAAATTTTACACACCTGTGTAATATGAAAGATCATGAAAAATAATTCTTTATTGGATGAGTGAATTTAAAATTGATATGGGGCAATCTAATTATTTACAACATGGCCGTGTGATCTAAGAGTAAGATTCACATTTGAAAAGCAATATAGTTGTAAAGTAAAGCTCAATTTTAATTAAAGTTCAATTTTGTCATACTCAAATTACGTAAAGTAAAAATGGGGTGCACAAATCAACCCCCTCTTGAGTCCTTGTGAAGCTTAAACCTTTGAAGCGGCGCGTTTAGGCGGGGTTAAAACGGGAAAAGGAATTTTGATATTTTTCCCATTATTTTAATTTTCCTAGGGTTATTTTAAAATATTTAAATTAAATATAAGTAATATTAAATAACTTTAGTGAGAGTTGATTATAGATATGAAAGCACGGACCATGATTTGGTGTTCAGTGAAAAGGTCTCGATGTTTAACTAAAAAAAATTATGATTTTTATATCAATGTTCATTTTGTAAGTTATGTATGCTCAATTGGTACTCATGTGATGATCAATTTTAAAATGTCATATCAATTCATATTTCAAAAGTACAATATAGCGTTACATTTGCATATTGAAGTTCATAGGAGTTGGTACAAATATAATTTAATAGGTTTTTATAAAAGAAAAGATAAAAAAACGAAAGTGAGTGAGAATATATGAAGCAGAAATCACAATGCTCATTGTTACACTTCAATTCTCAACGGAATAAAATTGATGCTAACTAAAAGTGCATTAGTATTTATTTAGTAGAAAACGTGAATTTCATATAAATTACCAAAATGCCATGGATACTATAAGTGCTCACCCTATTAGCTTTTGTGCAAAAATTGAAATCCGGTAATACCATTTTCTCAATTCCTTTCATTTGTCAGTAGCAAAGCCCATGTTCTAAAAGACGTAAGGTGTGCCAAGATGACACGATCAAGCCTTAAGCATTTCAAGCCTACGCGAGTTTCAACGGGGTATAGGCGTAAAAAGGCGTTGTGATTTTTTCTTATTAATGTTATTAGTTTTAATTTCGTAAAGACATTAGTAAATATATAATTGTGATATTAAAAAATATAATGCAAAGCCATTACAATATTTTCATTTTCCAACCATAACACTAAGTTCTAGAAATCAGAAGCGATATAGACACTTGCTTAGAGATGACAATTGTGACCGAACCGATGGATATCCGCACCGAACCGCCCCGTTCAAAATGGGGAAACCGCATTGACCGGGTAACGGGTATGGGATGGGGAATGCCCATTTTGTTTTTACGGGTAATGGGGCGGTTACGGTTTTATACATGCCCGCCCCATTACCCGCCCCATACCCGCCCCGTTTATTTGTAGTTATATTATATTTTTATTATATTTTTTATCTATTATTTGTCTCACAACTATTAAAAGATGCGATTTTTTTTCTTACCATTGTGTATGTATAGATAATAGATGTACTAACTATAATGTATAAATGAAAGTTCATAATAGATTTTAATAGTCTTATTTGATTATTATCATATTTTTTTCGTGATTAATTATTTTTTAGATTAAGTATTTTTAGGTTCAAATTAATTTAAGCCGCTTCCTTTCTCGTCTTGTAGATATACGAATCTTAAAGTGGCATCTGAAGTGTAGAGTGGTCTAGACGATGTCATTTTTCGCCTTTTAAAATATTATTTTTTATATCAAAATTTAATGACTCAATTAATAAAGCGGTTACCTGAAGTTTTACCCGTTACCCGTTGGGGCGGTTATGATTTGGGTAATGAGGTGGTTACGGGGCGGGGAAATTACCCAACGGGGCGATTATGGTTATATATAAAACCGTGTCCGATCTGCCCCGTTGTCATCCCTACACTTGCTTTACAAACATTAGAAGTGGCAAAGTGATTGCCTGTGCAGCTAGCTAAAGGGTAAAAACTACAAAAAGACCCTAAAGCAAAAAGTGGATTCAAAGGCCAATGTGGAGCTAGAGAGTTGAAACGTGCTCCACCAATGCATAGGACAATCTTTGGAACCAAAATGCAGCCAAATCAGTCGGCTATGAAGTCCAGAAATAGTCTCTGATCGCCTTAAAGCCATTGAGCATACCCCTGCATCAAGCTCAAAATGCAACATTACCTACTTGGCTACTTCCTAGCATCATAAATTGAATCATAAGTATATACATGATCTGGATCTCATGTT